ATTTTGATTTTACTCTCTACAATGTCGACAGATCGCAACTGCATATTCTGCATCTGCCGTTTGCATCGTGATGCATTAAAAGGCGTTTGATCGCGCGGCACATCGTCTCGCCGAGCGGCGCCTCGGCGCCGTAATCCATGGTAATTCGTAAAAGAGCTGAGGCCTTGTTAGAACGCGCCGGAGCTCGCAGCGAAGAGTAGATTTCCACGTTGCCCTTAATCGGAATTTATTAACCGTGGCAAAAGTGCAAGTACCGCACGGAATTACATTGGATTGGATAACGCTCGCGCGTCGCTTATTATGCACCTTGATATCGCTCACCCCGGGAAATTTCTTATGCAATGGCTAGACGGTAACAATAGCTGACATGAGAGAAGTGACCTCTTATTTTTAGAAGCGATATCACGAGAGAATTTGATCTGCTCAATTATCGTTTAACGCTATCTTGATCAAATAACGAGAGTATGTCAAGGCAAGAAATCGATAAAAAAATATTATTAAAATGTATTAAATTATTAGAAAAATATTATAAATTTTTAAATTTAATAAATTCCTACGGTTTATGTAAACTTATTTATTTCAATTACTTCGATATTTGTAAAAGAGATTTTAGCAAGTATCATAAATTTATGACAGATGTTGCATAGGTCTGGATTCTTCGAGTAAACAAATTGTGGAAGTCTTTCTAGAAGATACGGTGATCCATAGTAAACGGCTATCAAGAGACCTCGTTTATGTTGCTAATTGACATTAATCTACGTGGAACAAAGTTGACAGGCGCGCGAGTCTAGTCCGCTGGCGAATTAATCGGATTATGTCTCGTGCGAGTCCGGCTTGTCAATTTATTAGATCTATTCGTGACGACGCGGGCGATGCATCATCATGATCATCCTCATCATCGCGTCACCTCGATTGTCTCTCAACAGGCTTGCGCTCCTTCGTAAATCAGCGCGCTCTGTTTTGTCACGTACTTTCCTATTTATTCATCGATCATCGAGGATCGTAAAAATATCGCGCGCGAAAATCGTGTCTTGATCTATCAATCGATCCGATATGAAAGAAAGCAAAAAATCTGTTCCGCCGCAGTCGGAGGACCGAGAAGCTAATCAAGATGAAAAATGCTGTTGTTAAGATTTTTTGCACTGCTGCTATCACCAAGAACGTTATAATTAGCTCTGATCACTTTTGATAAAAGTGCGGTATCAATACACTGACACAAATAATATCAGTCAATTTCTCGGTTAACAATTAATGCAAATATTTTCTTATAAATTCATAAATCATCTCTTATGTAAGACTACCATTTTGCAATAACATATTATATCTCTACATCTGTGTTTACACGAACGTTCAGAGTAACAGCAGCGTTTGCGAAGCACCATTGCTAAATTGACGCGCATTCATTAAGGATTGATCGCTCAGCTATTAACGGCGCGTCACCGGCGCGAATGACGGCGTAATTGGCTCGTGGTTGTGTTGATATTCCTGCGATACTTCTTTTCGACCTGTGATCATCGAAAGTGCGATGTATGAAAACAATGACTACGTTTACACCGTGCATTTAGGCCTATACAATAGATGTCCTTGTTTATCCTGTAGGTTAAACAAAGACATCTATCGTATAGGTCGCGGACTAAGCGTACGGTGTAAACGTAGCCAATAATACTGCACCGTTGGAATTTTCCCAACCCTTGATAGATGTAACAAGTAACATTTATATATGTACATATGAAGAAGTTATATTTAGAGCATATAATGCAGCTGTTGCGATGTTCGACTCGCTTCGAGGTTTTAATTGAGTCTGAGCGACATTTGATTAGGATCTCCATTAGGATTTCCTTTCTCTTGGTCATTGTATATACTTCATAATAGATTTTATTGCGACATTTAAGCGTTGCTATAAATATTGCCTTGAATATTTCTAAGCATATATGTATATTGAAGTGTTTCCTATTTGAACTTTAAAAACGATCGTTTTTAACGCAAAAAATACTTATTTGATTAGAAGTTTTTAATTACATATTAAAATTATAAAAGCTGCAAACATCTTTTATATTGTTTAGGCAATATTTTAAATTATAATATTGCATTTCTGATATTTATAAATGTATTTTATGTTGTATATAAACTGTTTTTAGCAGTGTACTATTTATAATTTCGGATAGCTAATATTTATATATATATATATATATATAATCGACATATTGAAAAATTAATAGGCATTTTTTTTTAAACTATTGAATTATTTATTAAAATAAAAGACATTGTTTAAGAATGATAAAGACTTGCGAAATGACTGAATCTTAATTTTTATTTTCATTATACTTCATACGTTTCAGAAGAATCGACGAAAATTGAGACGTATATCGGTTGCGTCATGTCTTTATTTCCGCAAGCTTCTGCACGAAGAAGCTACCGCGCGGTTTGATGAGTCACAATGAAAGTATTTATCGCCTAGCGTTTCGTTTAAGTATACGCCGTTACTCGGATCACGATTTGTGATACAAGACGTCGAGGACGACCTGAATTCATGAAATGAAAAAAATTCAATTTGCAGGAAGAAAAAAAATATTCTTTCAAAATTGAAGTAGCGCTATCGCTCAAAATTTAACATCTTTTATCAGATATCAATTAGCGTTTATGAGAGAAAATTATGGCAAACTGAGATAAACAATTTTAATTTTGCACATTTACAAGGAAAAATGATTACGTGAAAAGATTCGATTCGCGAGATGTGAATTTAAATCGTAGTTGCGAATGTAATCTTAGGATGGTAACTAGATTTCGCTGACTGTGATAATACTTTTGCTCGCGTGGAAACTTTGCCGAGAACGAGAATTGCATCTGGAAAAAGAATGTCTGGATTAGACCGTAAAATTAAGTGCAATAAGGTAAACGTAATTCACATGCTGCTTTTTATCCCAGGAAAAATTTAAATCAGAATAAAACGGTTGGCATTAAGGCAACTATATTTTTAAACAAATTTTTTATATGACAATTTATAAATTGGAGAGAATAACGAATTTAATATCGAATATAAAATTATTTGTGAAGAGGGTTTTGAAGGTTTTTAAGCTACGCGATTTGTACAAGGTGACAATCGAAAAGTTATTGAAGATAAATAGCTTATACTTTACACAATGAATGGATAGAATAAAATAAATATTATTAAAAAAATCTGTCATTTTTATTAGCCCATACTACAAAAAAATACACATTTATACATTTGTTTTTATTATCCAAATCCTTTAGATGGTTATCAGTTCTAAAATATATATTAGGTAGCCGAATGGTTGACTTTTTTCATAATATTTATTTTTGCAAGTTTATATATACTTTCAAATACGATAGAGAACGCTATGGTCAAAGTTAAATGTTTCAAATAATACAATATATATTCTTTATTAAATTAATTTATTTCAAACATGATTGCGCGCCGATCACTTTTGGACTTTTAACACAATCAGTCTCAGAAACGCTAATAATCCCTCTAAATTAAATTAGAGAAACTGTAAAGAACTTATTGCGAAATTTATATATACGGTCGTTTCTTAAGTTTTAATAATGTTTACATATAACGCGTTCTCTCTATACATATAAATTATTACGAGGAATATTTCCGAAGCCTCAGTGGTCGAGTTGGTTAAGATACTTGTCCCGAAAAGTCGAGAAGTTCGAAACCTGGCTGAGGTAATATTTTTCGCAATAAATTCTTTACAGTTTTTTTTTCTAATTTAATTTAGCGGGGATTATTAGCGTTTCAGACTTATAATTATGTTGAAAGTTCGAAAGTTATCGGCGCAATCTGAAATAAATTGATTTAATAAAGAGTAATATATTGTATTATTCGAAACATCTAACTTTGACCGTGATGGCATTCTCTATTTGATGTATTCACATCATATACGGTCGTTTCTTAAGTCTTAATAATATTTATATATGCTTTCTTTTTGCTAAAATGATAAATTTCTTTGTAGAATAGTTTATTTCATTCTGTTCATTTTTATTACAAAATAACAGTTGTTTACGTTCAGCAATTTTCTCATTGTTGCCTGTATTTGCGTTGAAGCGACCCAGTGACCCAGCATCATATTCGTCAGAACCGAGAATGTGAAATAAATATTTCGTGATTTTTATTGGTACATTATGATTTAATGGCACACAATTAGTAGTCGTGCACTCTTCTCACGTCGCGCCGCGCGAGGACATTATTCATCAGGAAACTACCCTCGGTACGATCCGCGAGCTGCAATTACGTCGCGTTATTACAGCAATAACCCGCAAGGATGCGAATGATATTTTTCCCCGTGCACGCAAATGCGCTTCAGCCGGTCGAATCCGGTTTGTAAATTTCGTAGTGATAAGAAAACTAAACGCGATAGTGGCTCTTCCCCATTGAAGCCCGACACCTGAGCCAGCCGTTTTGTAATTACTACTGTTTCTTGTTTGATCTAAATGCAGAGTAAACACGCTCACCTGCCGCATTAGTCTAATTACTGTACGTGCTTCGCATTGTTCTCCGAGTGTCTTGCTCATAATTATATTGTTAGCTGCACATTTTCCTTGCCTCCGTTGTTCGTCGCGTCTGTCATTACGCATCCCACGTATGACACGCTGTGACACGATAGATCGCTTTATCCGGCATTAAGTTAAAAAAAAAACGGAGACTATATAGTATTCTGCGTGAATGGAAAACTCGGTACACCGACTATCGAGAGTAAGACTATCGATTCGCCACGTTTAACCGTCATGGAAAATTATCTATTAATTTTTTTTTTTAATTCCGCGACTCGGAATTCTTACCGTATTTTTTTTTTTTAATATGTCGACATCTCGCTCGTTTCCGCAGTCTCGTATCCGTAAACTGCGCTTTTACTACGACCGACTGACTCAAATGGCAGTCGATTAAGTTCGAAGGTTGACACCTTCAAGATCGTCGCGCTTTGTTTCTACGATCTGACCTGGTTTCTTTTTTTTTCTCTGTCCCTGTATGGCTACAGTATTCGTGAGAATACGGTGAACGGCTTGGTACCTGCCGGCGATTGTAAGATTTGCAAGGATACGAGAGACGAGCCGAAGGATTCCGAGGGTGCGTCCCTGCTCTGTGCACTGAAACCGCGTAAGCGCAAGGAACGTCGCGAATCCTGCTGCCAAGAACGGAAGCTAATAAGGTATAATTGCATACTAAAAATCATACAGATCCTTCAGTGTCATTCATAACATTCTTAACTCTAGAACACACAACATTCCGAAAAATTCTGGAAACTCACCCTATGGGTTTGGAAGACCCACTGTAACTTCAATTTAGATAAATATTTTTAAACTTTTTTTATTTTGAAATTCTGAGATTTAGAAATATATCTGCATAGATTGTAATGCCAAAAAGTTTTATATTGTTAAATTATAAAATAAAATTCTCCCTTTTCTTTTCTTCGTGTACGGAACAAGTGAAATTTCGATTGGCTCTGAGAAACTCATGTGTGTTTGAAAGTTAATTTGTCCTTATTGTTAGCGAATTTTGATGTCGCTAAACATTATGTTTCGACGAACTAAACGTCTTGAATTGGATTGAATTATTATTTATTGATGAAATCAATTTCATAATTTGTGTAAATTTTATCGCGTGCCTAGATGTCACAAGTTTCTCCAAAACATTTACTATTTATTTTAAATGTCGTGTTAATTATATCGTGTTAATTATAAAATGTAATGGCCTGTTAAATATAATAATTGTGAGAACGTTTTACACATGCGATAAAAGATAACTGATAAATTATTCCGAATTTCACTTAGTTTTGATTTCTCTCATTTGCGTGCTATTAAATTGGCTTTACTGTCAACAATAAATATTGAATTCGAATTTGCATACAAGAATTATCGCGACGCAAAAATGTAAAATGTCCATTTGCTAAGTTTTCTTGCAAGTACGACTTGAATTCATATGTTTGCGAATACTGTTCGTCGTTACTAGCATTGCATTACGGCGAATTAGAAAAAAAACATTGTACATAGAATGCCACGACTATGTCTTTCAGGAGTAGCAGTGAAGAACGTGTTCTTGACAGTCCCACCGACATCGCGGATACGATCAGACGTGTGAGCAGCCACGAAGATTTCAATAGCCAGGAACATTTGCACATTTTATCGCAACTCGGTCAAGACATGGGTCACGGTGTGGTGAGTGTATAATCGCAATAGTTAAGGTTCGACTCTAAAAAAAATAACATTTTTGTATAATTTTTATATAATTATTAAATATACCAGACCTCTCTCTCTTATATATAATTCTAAAAAGGCATTGCTAATAGAACTAATTATCTATTAATAAACGTTCTTTATCTCATTGTCAAATCTATCAAAAGTTTAATTATCGCATAATACATAATATTTATGTCATTTTATGTATTAATTATGTAGAAAGTATTTTGTGATATATAATAAATTAATATTTTAAGAGTTACACAATTTTATTATAAGCAAAATGCAAGCTTTTAGCAATTACTAATTGATTCATAATTTGATATGACACAGAGATGTGGCGGATTACCGCTCCATGAGAGAACCAACGTTTCGCCAGTGTCGAAAAAATCGTCGTCAGTACCATCGCCGTGCGAAGTAGTTGTGGCGACTGAAAAATTTGATTGCGACGCCGAAAAATTGAGAAATAGCGAACGCTTTAGCAGAAGTCTTACCCCGAGAGGTAGAAGACAAGCACGCAGAAGAAGAGTGCACAGAATCCCAGATACTGACCAGAGTTCCAGCAAGGTAAATAAAATCGCGTAAAGGAGCCACGGCAGTGCCTCGCACTATGATGCTACGCTTTGTCTTAGCGCCGAGACACTACCGTGTCTCCTGATCTTTCAATATTTTCATTACAGAGAAACGTTAATTAATATTTAGTCTCATATATAATATTTATATGGTGTTAAAAAGTTAATTTTAATTAAAATTTAATCCTAGTAAAATAGATTCCGATATATTCCATAAAAGTTACATTCTGAAAATTAGTATAATTAAATTTTGATCTAATCATGAAATTCGCAAATTATGAAATTATATATATGACATTTTTAATAGCAATAGGACTTTATAGATGTTGAAGACTTTATAGATGTTGATATTACGAGGCTTAAAATAATTAATATACTGCATATCACGAATTACATTTGATAAGAAAAATAAAGAGTTTGATTTCATTAGGAAAACGAAGAGGAATCTGAAAATATGTACATCTCCAATGTATCACCGAGTCCTAATAGTCATAATGACTCGCCAGCTCAAAGCTTCTTGGAAATGTTAAGCAGCGGACCGAGCAGATCACCTTCGCCGGCTCGTCCACCCACTGTCGATCACGAGGACGTTAATAATCCCAGTTTGACTAATTGGGGCTTTCAACATTTGGAAGGAAATGTAGATATCTAAATTAATTAAAAATTAGAGATCATGTAACGATAATTATTAAGAAATTATACTACATAAAATTATAAACAATTAAATGTAATTTCAACCTAAAGATTAAGAATTATGTGAATGGAGATATACAGACGAAATTGTATATATGAGTCAAGATTTTTATAAAAAAATTAATGTTTAAACTTTTTTACGTGTATTAATTATATATATCAAATGGAATTTGCAGGAAGAAGCCGCGGACGCTCGAGTGGAAGCTATGCTCTCGCCAAGGAACTCACTGTTGCTCCCCAGGAGATTTTACTCCGAAGAGGAAATACAATCAAACACGCTTAGCCCATCGGAAATGGGACTAAAAAATCTTGCGAAACACATTAACGGCCTGAAGAAGAAGATCAAAAAGTATGAGGATGAGTTTGAGGAAAACTTCGGCTATCGACCGAGTCATTCTGACAAAATGAGCAATCGCGACATCAAACGGCTATGCACGGAGCTGAATAAGCTTCGAAAAGAACACAAGTTATTGAAGGAAGATCCAATAGGTGCGCTTCTAGCCAATGCCAACAATCGACTGAATACTACCGGCAGTCCTGTAAACAATAACAATGGCCACGAGAAATCTCAGACAACGTCGATAGAGGAAGTGATCAAGGAAGCGGAGAAAAAACTTAGCGAGAAGCGTATCAAGTACAACCGGCCCGATAATATGGATGAACTCAATTACGAGCAATTATTAGAGGAAAAGACAGCCGTGCAAAAAGCATTGCTCCATATTGAGAACACTTTCGGCAGGCCAGTTTGTAAGGAAGACAGAGCAGTTGTTCGACCATTATACGACCGGTACAGGACTTTAAAAAGACTGCTCATTAGAGCGGGCGCGGTAAGAACAATTAATTGTTGTTAACTAAATATAATTTAAAATAAATTTTTGGAGAAAAATGACTGTGTTCTGTACATGTTGTAGTGTAAAAACAAGGACAGCGTTACCGAACTGGCCACGATCCTAGAGCACGAAACGATGGATTTTACGTCATCGAATCTTCCAGGAAATCCTGTAGAGACTGATAGAAGAGCCAGCGAGCCTGATATGTCACATCGAGGCATCTTGGATTGTATCGATCCCGTAGATCAATTGCCAACTGATAGTGATAGTCAGCATAGCAGTAGCGATGCCGGTGAAGGTCTTCACGCAATGTACTTTTTTAGCTTCTATTTACTTATTATTGTAACTTTTCTCTGCAATCTGGGTCTTTTGCACAAGCGTCTGGCACAAACGAAATTTTATTTTGAAATTTCTCCAAAATAAAGAAGGAATTCAGTTTCCCCTCTCTAAAAATATTTTGTTAAAAACTATTTAATAATGTAATAGAGATGTTAAAAAGTAATGAATTTTTCCACATTTGAAAATCTATAACAGCAAAATAAAAGATTGCAAACGGGGAAAAAAATAGAATTACAGACAAAGGATTAATTATATACTTATGCTCTCAGAAAAGATTTATAAAAACATTAGAAACTATTTCTAATGAAAAAACAACATCTAACTGAAAGGTATTTGTCGTCAATTTTCATTAAATGTTATCTCTTCTTTTTAGAGAAGAATTATTGATACAACAACGAGCTACTCGAGAAGAGAAGAAGCGGCTTCGTAGAGCGTTGAAAGAATTAGAAGCGCAATTTGAAGCTCGGGCTGGCCGCCGTATGCAACGCGAGGATCGTGGACCGCAAGTCACTACCGTGTATGAATCATACAAGCAGGCGAAAGCAAAATTGAGACTGATCGACGCCCTCATAGCCAAAAAGGCTTGACGTAGTATTTAATTCACGAGTAATGAAGAACTGATTTGAAACAACATAGTTGAAACTTTAAATGATCTTTAAACGTCTGTAAAAAGATGTGCCACGCAGGCACATTCATCGCCATCTGCAATTTCAGCATTATGCGATCATGATTAAAAAGGCCTGAAGAGAAGCAATATCTGCCTGAATGAAGAATACTACTGTAACGCAACGAGAATTTATCGTATAGAATCAAAAGATTTCGAGAACAAAAACATGAAAGTGAACAATGCATTCACTTTCTAGTGTAAGATTTACTTCGCTTTCATAAAATCATGCGTGCCGTATATTCTCTTATGCGGTTTTCTTTCGATCGCAGAGTTCGTTCGCGTTACGACGCTGGGAAAATAATACCGAATGTTTTCAATGTTTAAAGTAATGCATCTTTTTTATAACATCGTTTTTGAAACATCGATATATTGAAAGTGCGCATAAACGGACAACTTATAGTGAGCAATAGTATGTCTACAGAATAAAAGCATGGTAGTACATTTGAACTCTTTAAACATTAATAATTCTACAATTTAAACTGATTATTACGACGTAATATAAAATAATTGTTCGATGATATAATCGCGTATCATTGTACATTTTGTATTTAACGTATTCATTTGCAATGGAAGATTTCCATTTGATTGTCCTCCATTCATTTCATTGTATATGCAGCATTAATGATACATATTTTACGTTAACGAGAAATTGGATGCTTATTTTGATACATTTACAGTTCATGAAATTGATACAGTTACAAATATATAAAAAAAATGTACTTATATTTTATATGTATATATATATATTTGTTGCAAAGATTTCTAAACTTGTTTGTACTTAAAATATCAAGTTTTATAGCGGTTAACGCAAAAACAGATATCGAACGAACGAAGCCCAATTTGTCATTTTGAATCGTTAAAACAAATCAAGATTTTTCCGACAAATATAACGATGTATATCATACAAATGTGAGAAACATGTCAGACGGCACATTTATTTCATAGTGTCTATATATAATTTTATTTTTCTAATATTTATATTTTGGAAGGAATAGTATATATTTTTTAATTTCGTTATTGAGAGAAGTGTTTAGTTTTATTGCTCGTAAAGAGTCGATTGAATTTTTCTCACTGACGATAAACTTGACGATTATCGTAAGATCGATAAGACTTGAAAAAGAAAAGATAGGAGAGAACGGGTATCCATATAATGATTAACGCGTTTATAATGGACCCGATATTTATTTTATCATAATGCTGAAAGAGTAAAGAACGAATCTGTGGGGTTATATTCGTAATATGAGTACCTTGTAAGAGATATCACATGTTGTAATATTGTAGAGTACTATAAAATGTTACGATCTTAATAACGTATTAAAAGAGAAAGAAAAAAAAGAATATTCACTAAGAGAAGCTCGTTGATTTTTGCGTTTATATTTTTGTACAAGTACGATTTTAAGGCCGTTCGCAATGTATACACACACAACCGACTAGGGACTACTATCGTAAAAACGCCTTAAAATTCCACTTGGATCGATTTTTTCACATAGAATCTCGAGAATCAAGGGTGCTAATGGCTTGAGTTCTACCGTATGCCGACTAATATGAAAGAAATGCTTTGCGAATTTCACTAACGATAAGTTGCAACTGCGCCGAAGGGGTTTTTCTCATTTTACCACGACACAATGACGAAATCAGCCACTGTTACAGATTCGGAAGTTCTGATATGTATTTGAGACACAAAGGCCGCGGTGGTTTTAACCTTTTCGATATCAAGCAGGAAACGAAAATTGATGAATAACTCGCTGATCTCGTATTCCTGCAGGCAAAAATTAACATTTTCGAAAATAATTATACATTAACGCGCGACAGCGAAGCCAGTCGCAAACACGTAAATGCGAAACGTACGTTCGTTCTAATTAACAAAAGTGAGTAAAAAAACAAAAAAAGAACAAGACGATTCTTTAGACCAAAGCATTTTTTAGTCTGTGATATAATGAGAGATATATTTGCGTTAAGATGGGAGAATGTGTGTGTGGAGTACTCGGTTCCATTTCTATTTTCTTCCTTCTGTGAAAACAATTTTGTAGAAGACCGGAATAAGGGGAGATGATTTTTCCGCTGTTTTCTTTGCAAGAGATAATTGAAGTCGGCGATATCTTTAGAAGATCTTATAGAAGATCTGATGACAGCATAAAGCAGAGTCCTTTTTCGAAAGAACGGTTGGAGACAAAGTAATCATACAGAATACAAGAAGTGAGAAAATGGATTTTTTATAGACGCATCAATAATTAGAGTGAATATGAAAATAAATATTCGAATATAAATATTGAAATAAGAAATCCAACAAGGATATATCACTTTGTTAATTGGACAATCCTTGAAATTAAGTCTGTCTTAAATCTGTTGCTATTTAATTACTCCATCATTTAATATGTAGCAACAAATTGTGCGACAGTAAGAGCATTTTATCGCTGCGACGAGATCATTTTCCGTTCGTCACAGAACTGTTGTCCTCCATCCGTACTGTCAAAAGGATTGCGCTGTTTATGAGAGAAAATTAATTTTGTATTTAATGCCCACAGGAATGTTTTTATTTCTCGCGGGTGCATCTAAGCGCCCCTCCACTAGTAAGAAAGAGAGAGAGCAAATTAGTATTATCATATATATATATATGTATCTAAGATAACATTTTATATTAACGTTAACTAAGATACATTTTGTAGCGGATAGTATCTTTAATGCATAAGAATAGATCGCGTGATTCTGTGTAGACGCTTTGAATGGAAGGGAGAGAGAGAGATAAGCAGGAATACTTTTGAAAAGAAGTCAGAATACAGAGGGAAGCAAAAATCACTTTATTTAGCGAAGCTAAGAGACAGGCTAGATTACGAATCGTTTAATTAGTACTAAAAAAGAAAGAACGCTAGATACGCCATGCGGATCACATGATCTACGAACATATCTAGAGAGATTAGAATCTTACGACAGAAAGAAACGAAAAAAAGTGTAAAAAAAAGAAATCAATAGCGTAACATTCAATTTCTCTTGGATATCGTCGTACGTAGCTGTGCAACTGACAAAATTACAATCGACCGTGGAAGCCGCGACGACGATGAATCCGTCTCTAGCAAGAGTCCTAAGAAAACCACCTTCGGCGTTTATACACACATGTTGATTCTGTATATACATATATATAAATATATTATATGTATAGAGGTATACACATACACAAATATACACACACACATATATACACAAGACGGAGAGCTGCGTATATATGAATTACATACAACCGTAACACGCATACGAACGAATAATACACATTATTATGGGGTAGTAGACAGAATTGAATAAAATGGAATATGATCTGCTGAAAATATTTGTTCTTGTTTATCGCCTTGAAGAAGAACAAAAAGTAGAAACACCTCCCAACGTTCTACGTTCGGATTCCCCATTCGAGTGTCTCCCTGTATATCATTTCATCCTTATTTACTGCGTTTATAAAGTTATAACATCGATGTTATGAAATTGCCAATCATAGCTATTTCTCTGAAGAATGGAGTGACTGTAATTGGTCAGTTTTATAATATCGATATTATAACTTCGACGTACATCGAGCCGTGTAAACGTAGTCATTGTTCACTAGGGGTGACAAATAGTGCTTACAAGCGCTATGTGCGCAAAATGAAACTCAAAGAAAAGTTAAACAAAAATAAAATAATACATGAGACCGCTTGGGAAATTCAAATGCGCCTTTAAATATGTTTTTCGTATCATAGAAGAAAAAATTAATGCCCTCTATTCTGCGATTCAGAAATACTAAAATTTCAATGTGTAGGCAGTTTGATAAAAATAACTCCAATTTTATTCCATTTTCTTGCTCTTTTATCGTGACTCGATGTTACGTTACGACACGAGCTGCAATTGCTTATGAAAAGTTTGAATCTGCCGTAATAACGCAGCCAGCTGCATAGAAGTGGGCGGCTCTCGTGTGGCATTGAAAATTTTTCTTCGACCAAAAATCTGCGATTTTTCAGGTATAACAGATATGGGAAAAGAATCCTTATTGGTTCCCTTGGTCGACTCGGTCGCGATGCAAACTAGACTGTTTCTTTCGTGCAACGTCTTCATTTGTTGTTTCAGTGTCATTACCTATTTTTGCATTGTCATTGAAAACAATGTATGCATGATTGTGGAATACATGAATATTCAATAATGGCTCTTACTTCTTTGTAGAGATTGACAACAGCGTTGATTTCTTCTTCCTTGACATTGAGTTCCTTCTCCAAAGCGGACAATTCCTTCGCTAAAGATTTATCGTTGGACTTGTCCACTTCTGATCGTAATCTCTCATATTTTCTATGAAGAAAATAAGTAATATCTATCAAAATTATTTTTAAAGGACTTTTATAAGAAATTCAGCCTTGGTGAAATGAATTAGTTTTTACTATAAAGCTATATTCAGATTTCCATCCGAATGTCACTCAAGTATCGTTTTATTCTTGTAACTTTCGGTAAACAACAAAGGATAAAATGATGCCTGGATGGCACTTGGGAGGGAATTTGAACATAGCCCAATGTAGCTTATAACGTAGTAAACAAAAGATATAAGACACAAAGCTTAATAATGGATAGTTTTTGAACTGCGACTCGGCGTATCAAGGTGCTCTATAAGCATAAGTTTTACATCTTTACCCTATAGTTAAAAAAAACTAGTCATGATTCAGTCTTGTGTATATAACACCTTTTGTTCAGTATATTATAAGCTACATTATATGTGAAAACTATAACTCATTTCACCGGGACCCAATATATAATCAATACGGGATCCTTTAATACAGCCAGCACACTCACGTGTTCATCTCTTCAAATTGATCGTGAAGATTAATCAAGACGTCACGTATCTCCTTAGAATTGTGCGAATCAGGAATACGCATTTTATGATCGCCAATATTACCCTACGACATCAACATGTCATAATATGCTTTAAAACAAACTGCTGAAATGCGATTTACCTTTAACGATATCCTCGAAGTTCCTTGCTGAATTTTAGGATTCGCCGAAGTGTCGCTTTTGCTCGCAGCGGAAGAAGATTGCTGTTTAGTCTTGTGATTGGAAGAATCAACTTTCTCTTTACAAAGCTGTTTAGAAACATTCTCTTTTTCATAAATAATTTCTGCATCCGTGAACGTCTTTGGCATACGGCCACTTTGCGTCTTTCCCACGTGTAAATTAAACATGGACAATCTTTTATCTCGACCAAAGTTCTCCCTGCTGTTAAATTTAAGCATTCCAGTCATTTGCGAGCTCATGTTGGGGACCGATCCCTCGCAGTGACCGTTCATCTGGCCCAGAAGAACTGACATCGGCCTCATGCCTCTGCTAACTTTGCGAATCAATAACGGGGTGACACTGCTCGCGATCGGCTGTCTCATCTTCATCACGCTGAACACCTATGTTTCAGGAGGACGTTTTTTTTAGATAACCCCCTGCTTTTCGCTGAGTGTCGCCGACTCACTTGTTGAATATTCAATCCGAGATTGTAACTCGGGGTCACCGAAGTTCCCACCACGAATGGAATATTTCGAAAGTTAAACCTGCTGAAATACGATCTACTCGAGCGTTTTAACTTCGACGCCAAAGTTGGCATTTCGTAGTTCGGCGTGAACAATGGATCGTCGTATCTGTTGATAGTTCGTTTGCATTGTTGCGTTTCATTCTGTGCCGCTGGACTAAGATCGTTGTGTGTCGAATGGGTCGGTTTTTTTGATATATCTTGTTTTTTCGTTATCTCGGACTTCGCTCTATGAGAGAAAAAAAGATTTAAAATTCAATAAGTAATGATGATGAAAATTTGAGAGTAATAATAATGGTAATAGAAATATAAATAATCATGTTGATCATCACTACCAAGAATAATTACAATAACGTAATAGTAACTATAAATATATATACAATTACTCTGACAATGTATTGCTTTGACAATTTAATATCTGAAGACAATGATCCTGTTCATTTTTCTTATCATGGGATTGATATTTCTGATTAATATTTTTAGAATGTCTATCTTTTGGACTTAACACTGTCTCTTGAATTCTTTTTGGATTTTCCTTGTCCTCAGGAAGATGCAGTTTTTTTTCATACTTAGCTTCATTGTCTTTAGAGTGCTTAATGGACACCCCGAAATTATTTTTCTTTAATCTAATATTATGAAAAATTTCCACGACATCATTAGACTTCTTCGCATGCTTTGGCGGATCGTATGTTGGTTGATGGATTGGTTGATAAACGTTTGATAAACGATTGATGAGAGGTTGACGATTAATGACAAGGCCTGCGTCGAAAATTATCATAAATAACAGAGATTTATCTCTAATGGTAGCACAATATAATTGTAAACATATATACAGAGACAGATTGTACACAAACTTGACCCCATACAGCACAGAGGATCAATCATGTAATTGTTTCCTAAGAGCGGAAACGTGAAAAGTGAAAATTTTTTGTATGTATCCGTGTATATATACATACATATAGATAAAAATTTTCACTTTTCATGTTTTCGCTTTAGAGAAGAAGTTACATGATCGATACCCAAATCTCCAAGGGACGTCCTATATCCTAAGGGTGTTTCCAGAATATCCCTCGGAAAAAATGTGCTGTGTGGGATTTTTCACCTTTATACCGGTGCTTCTTCGCTTCTTTTCTACCAATAAAACCCGTGTCTCTGGTAGTAACTGTGCTCTTGGAAATGGAACTTCGTAACTTTGTCTTTTTCTTTCGCACTTTAGGCATCGCGTTATCCGCCCTGCACACGGAGTTCATTTCGCTTCTTCCCGTTTTCGATCTACTTTTCATCAATCGTCTTATTTTTGCGATATTCAGCGTGTTCAAATTCAATCCCGGATCTTCAACACCTTCAACATCTTTGATACCTGGCCTCGCAGAACACGGCGTTGCGTGGAGATAATCCTTGTCGTCCGCTTGCAATGTCATTCTCTCGAGGGACATATTCGACGGAAAATAATGACTTTCATATTCTTTACTCGCCTATTTGTATCATCGAGTATAAAGCTCGTAAGTATAAAAATACATATACTTAAAATACGCATATTTATAAAACGTAATCTCGTACGTCTTCTTCCATATTCTGAGTTGGCATTGTTATCAAACGAGGAAGTTTCTTATCTATAAATTGAGTTCTCGGTGTAATTGTAACGTTCAATAATCCTTTCTGACTTCCCTCCATTAAACTCTCAGATCTCTCGATAATGTTATCATCGTTTATTTTTCTAGATGAAAACTGCGCAGACTTTGGACTCAAATTAAATGCATCTATGGAAATATAAATGTTTAAATGTATAGACCGATTTTAATTCCGGAAAAATTTTCTACCAAAATTTCCTTCGTTGTTATGAATTCTCTGAGATATGTTACAGTTTGTAGTTCTATTGACATCCATAATTTCGCTAGTACAGTTATTACGTTTGAATGAAGACTTTGAATCTGAATTTTTAAATGACATTATTGATGAAATGTCAGAAGCTTCTTTACTTCCTTTTTCCGTTTGAGCCTTTCGACAAACATCCATCACATAATTTAACTCTGACTTTAACGTGAAACATTTGGTCTCTGCTTTGTCCAATTCCAGTCCGATCCCTAAATGAAGTTAATAGTAGCTGGCATTGTTTAAATTATTTTTTATATTAAAATATTACGAATTGAAAGGCTATGAAATTGTAGCGCGATGATCGTTGCTCGTAAATTTCATCTTGTTATCCACCGAATTAAGTTCGTAATATAATCTTAAATATAACTTATGTAGAATGCACATAACAAGTTGAAATTTATATACAACAATTACCGCGCTGCACTTCTTTCAATTTGTAAAATTTTAATTTTTAAATTTTGAGATTTTAACAATTGTACATATTTTTCATATAAAACGCTTTCGAAAAGTCTAGAATTTGAAAGAACTATCGAGGAGTTTGGAACTAATCTCAGCAACATTAATAGATAAAAATAAATATAACATAGTATCAATATATATAAGAAAAATTTGGTTTTTATATAGATGATAATACTTTTTAATGCGATGTTTGGTCTGTTTTCTGATTCGTCTATTTTGCATGATTGCATTTCGAATTGATTTTTTAGAGGTAATTCTGAAAGCAAAAATATGACATAATATATAGAAATTAAAAAATCAATTACTAATTATAGAATTCCACTCTAGATCTTTTTTAAAATGTTCATCTATCAAGATTTTATTATACATTTATTAAATCATTACCAAAAGTTTCATTTATATCGTCATGAACGTTCATGTTAGTTACATCAAATTTTTCTTAACTTTCATAATTTCACGCTCGCGCAATTTAATATACAATCAAATTTCACATGCATTATTCAAAATTTACATTAAATTACACTGTTTTTCTCGTTTCAAAAATAATGATTTATGTCTCACAATACATATACATACAAAATATATGTATAAAATTAAAAAAATTATACGTAGGTTACAGTTACACAACACGTTGGACATCACATCGTTCTCTTGTCGCACATTCTTCTTTGTTTTGAAAAATTCATAAAGAGGCAAATTCAACCTTTACACAGTTTGACATGGTTTGACAACGAAAGTGTAAAAGTTTTGATTTTAATAACGACAACCATAATTAGAATTCGTATGTATACTTTGAAATTTTATTAAAAGAAGTGCAATCATCACAAATAGTTACAAAAATCAAATTTATCTCAAAATTTAATTTGTCGTTTCGTGACATTTGTTCTCGAATCGCGAATTCAGACTTTCTCATTATTATTATTATTAATTTATGATACAATTAAACTAAAATAATTATAGTGAGGTAAATGGCGACACTTTGACCAAATTCTAATTAATTTGAATAGTGAAATAATTTAAAGAACAAAATTCTATTTTTGTCCCATATGTGTTAAACAGCAAAAAATTAATAACTCTATTTACGTCATAACAAAATAATACAGATATTCGACAAACTAATAAAAAAAAATGGAATTTGATCAAACTCGCGCACGAAATATTTCTCGAAAATGGATTTTAAATTTCGAGATTTCCCGAGCAATTCGCGCGCTTTTGTCACGTGACCGCGAGGGAACTTTTTGTCGCTAGGTCGCGCTCGAGTTCTCTTCGCGAAGTGTATTTTAGGGAAGCGTACAGTGGCGGTGTGCAGAGCCAGTGCAAGCGAGAAGTGAGTGGCATCGAGTTGCAAATGGTGGACGGTATTTGACCCTCGTTACGTTTAACATCAGGTAGGTGAGCTTTCCGGCCGACGGACGATGTTGTCGGAATTGCGTCGCGTCTCCTGTCGACCGGTGACGTCGACGATTGTCGCCGGTCGGTCGACCGATCGATCGCGTCGTTCGACGGGATTATACTCGGTTACGTAAAAATTCGCCACGGACCGAAAATAGTCACCTGACTTCGCGATCTCGCGCCTCCCCCTATCCTCCTTACCTATTTTGTCTTATATTGTATATAGTCTTATCGAGAGGGAACGAAAAAAAAAGGAGGAAAACATTCGTGATGAGGAATTCACCCGGTCTCGATCTCGCGCGCCTCGTGATGAAATCCTAACCCATAATCCCCCGTCACTTTTGTGATGAGAAGGGGAGGCGTGGGCGAGTTCGAGTTCGTAGGTTAAGATGCATATTTAATCGTTTAGTACGGCGTTCTCTCTCCCGCGAGTCTTCCTCTTCACGGTACAGATTGTGACGTGAATCATCGTATTTTCCGCGAATTATTAGGACGTTAATAGGCGTTAAAGGCTTGTTAGCAATTTCGTTAGCACTCTCGTTTCTTGTTAGCGACTTGTCAGAGCGGTCGGTTTTTTTTATTACAGTTGTGTTGTACACGCGTTTGATTTTTTTTTCCTTCAACATCCTCGATTTCATTCATTTTTTCTAATTTTTTTCCCGAACTACGGCGGTCGTTTTGGGTCTTACGTTTTGTGTTCCTGTTCTTTGACTTTCTTCCGCTCGCAAAGATACAATTTTGCTTTTGAAAGAAAAAAGTATGAATGCTTGCATCATCCGGCTTCCTGTCGTCGTGAGATTTGAGCGGCACGATTATCGCAGTCCCGAGAGAGAACGGGAGAAAAGAGAAAAGAGTAAAAGCGCGGTAAATGTAGACACGTGCTGTCAAGAGAAACAGGTCACACACGTGGTCTGGAAGTTTTTCGCAATTCCCCTTCTTTTAACAAATTCCATTGAGTAAATAGATCGTAGACGTGATCTGGAAGTTTCTTGCAACTCCTTTTTCCAAAAATTTTGGCAAAGTAAATAGATCGTTTACGTGATCTGGATTTCTTGCAATTCCTCTTCTTCTAAAAAATGTTGACAATAGGCCAGTTCATCTTTCTTCCTTTTCTCTCCAGGAGGAAAAAAGAGGAAGAAAGATGAACTGGTGCAAAAATTCAGTCAAAAAGAACAGGCCTATTGAATAAATAGAAGAAGATCGTGGCCCGGAAGTTTCCCGTAACTCCCCCTCTTTTCTCAAAAGTTCTGGCAGCAAATACACTTCATAGATATAGTCACCGACGAGATACTATTAAAACTGACATCCTTACGGGAGTTCGCGTCCTTATTAATATTGAATTAAGAGTAAAAAATTGATAATGTACTAATTTTATGATTTATTAATTTAGTAGACGTGTTTATCGGTGTATATGCATTTAAAACTCAATAGTACTTGATTTTTCTTTAAATTTGTAATTTCATTGTTATCGTCAAAGTTTGATTATCAACAAAGACGATAACTGCAGAGAAAAAAAAATTATAATTTTTCAGCGACATAGGATATAACTTTACGAGTATGCATATTTATTTATGGAGCATTTATGTAATAAAAAATCATGAATTTAATAATGTATTAGCTAAGTATTTATGTTAATAATAGCAAATTTATATCAATTGTCGATAATGTCAGTTCTTCAATTACCTCCGGGCCCTTTTTATACCGCCAAAAATTTGCCTAGGTTGACGGTTTTTAAGACGATTCTAAAGCCGTCTGTATTACCGATTCAATCGTAATTTTTGTATAACAAATACTTTTCTTCTCTTTCACAGATTCGAAAATCCTCCAGGATTAAAGTATACACGTTAATACGTGTTTGTGAGGTGAAATTTATGCCGAGAACGATAAAAAAATTTTTTGTCGTTCTCTCTCGGTATAAATTTCATCTGACAAACACGTATTAATGTGTATACTTTAATCCTGGAGAAGGATTTTCGAATCTGTGAAAGAGAAAAAAAGTATTGTATCATCGTCGATGATACAGTACTCGTGATCTGAAAATTTTTTGCAACTCCCTTCTTATCTCAAAAATTCTGACAAATAAATAGATCATACACGTGATCCGGTAGCTTCTCACTTCTAAATCTCTCTCTCTCTCTTTTCTTTTTTCAAAAATTACGATAATATGTTTGTTTTATTGCAAGAGGCCGGAGAAATGTAGATCTGTAGCTTAATACGAATTCCTCCTCTATCTTTTCATTCATATTATTCAAGCGGATAGAACTGGAAATAGCTGGAAGAAACGGACGCGCGTAATCTGAGGTATAATTTGCGCGATAAATTGTCTTCGTCGATATGTTACAATGTGAAGCGTAAATTAATTCACTGTAAAGTAATTTGATATACGCACTTTTGATTTTAAAAAAAGAGTAAACGAAAATGAACACGTTACTGTTAATACTGTTATTAAAGAATATGTACATTTACTTTAGTAAAGACATGTTAATTATCTTGACTTTCAACTTTATTATTGATAAATTCATCAGTAAACTTACCAGTAACTATATATGTAACTTGCTGATTTGCTTTTATCATAACAGACTTACAAAGATTGTCGTGGTGTGTACATATTTAAGTAACGGAGCGGGGTCGCGTTCTCAGGACCGGCGTTCGTATCTGCATTTCTGACGTGAGCGCAAACGACAATCAGGTATTCCCCACTTCCAGTCATTGCGATCTCGTGGAGGTTCTCTACGTAAAGAGACGGGGGAGAGCCCGCAGTTTTTCCCGATAGTCACATGTGCCTGAACGAGGCCAGCATTGCCTCGAAACGGATTTCGAGACAGACAGTCTTATCGCGTGTGTCAATAGGACTTTGAGTTATTCCTCTCGATTATATCTTTTTTTCCACGATTTTCCACACACTTTGAGCATCGAATAAAAGAAGACGAATAGGACTGAAGATAAACGCTGCATGTGTCTTTCGTAAGAATACAACTGTGGAGAAAAAGCGGTACTCGATGGCCTCGCCTTCGTTGCTTAAGTTTACTGTCTGATTTTATATGCTGTTTAAAGTGAAAGGAAGTAAAATTAATCTGCAAATTTTTTCTACTTACTTTCTCGTTACTCTTGTCTTGATAGTCTTTTTATCTTGTAATCTAATCTTCGAAAAAAGGGATACGTACGTGACGCCAGATGTTCCGCCTCCCTAAGTGAATTATCGCGATTGATAAGCAGGATCTAATTAGAGATTTTGCTGTTAAATAAATAATAAATGATATTTGTCATTTTAGACATGATTTTAGACATTATTGAGAAATATTCTAGTCGCAATTACTTTCATACGTTAAAAGCTCTCAAGATTTCGAGTTAATATGTATTCATAAATATTTAGTAAATATTCCATAAATATACAACTATTTTAATTAAAATAAATTAATAATATAGCTCAATAAGAATAAATCAATAAATAAAAGAAGGGTTACGAGCCAATTAAAATTTAAAGAATATTTAATATTTGTAAAAACATTTCGACGCCGATCGGATCATTTTCAATAAACAAATAATAACAAGTAAAAACAAATAATATTACATAAGTTGTCGAAGTATTCGGTCAGATTACAGTATCCAGTGAAACGTATCGGTTATTTCTGTATTCCCTATTATTTGATGTGGTTCATATGTAAAATTAGCATCATTTGATTGATATAAAAGTGATCTCATCTTATTTTTTAAAATCGACAATAGTTCACATCAACAGAAAAATAAAAATAATAAACTGACATTGCGTTACAATTAAAATTAAATTATATAATCAAGTATGTATATTTTATTATTTTAATTAAAATTTTTGACTGTCTGGCTTGAAACAATAATAAGATTCTTTTTTTAGAAGAAACATTTTTTTTTATGTTAAGAAAAAGCAATATTTCAAAGTATTTTAACTCATTGTTAGACTCACTATTATACGCGTTTCTGGCATTTATCAAAGCTTATCTAGAACTACGCGAAGTCTTGATAATGCAAACTTTGGATTGTAGTACTTGTGTACTATGCTTTCTAATCTTTACTTTTTAAAGGAAGTGCTTTAGATAATATTTTGCGCATCACTACAAATGTATTGTCGTGAAAATTTGTTGACACATGCAATTTTATATTTACACACAGAAGTGTACAGGAAATATGTGTTCTCTCAATAATATTTTTTAATTTATTGTAATTTTCTCTCCGAAGCATTTAAGATATGCTGCGACAAAACGTCAAAATTATAAGAATGTTGTATTATATGAATGAGTTATAAATTTTGTGTTTTATGATATTAATATTTGGCGTGAAAAGTGCTGCCGTGAGTAACGAAAAATAGGTTATACTATTGAGTTGCACTAAATATTTAGTGCAATTTAAAACGTCGTAAATTGTGTAATTAGTATTTTTACTTGGACTTACAACTTTAACATAATTTTTTTTAAATTAGAATTAACTGAAATTTTGCAGAAATTGATTGCTTATATCTTTAGTTATTTTTTAATAAAATTATATATGATATTTTTTAATAAAATTTTTTAAATAAAAAAATTATTTAAAAAAAAATAAATTATTTCTTTCGTTTGAAAAATTAAAAACACAATGTTTTGCTGTGACAAGTTTCATTGCATTTTTTCTCGAACATTGTTACGCAATCTGGAAACTGGCCAGTTCTTAAAAATAGAATAGTAACACCTCAATATTTATGATAACAAATATACTGTGTACCGAATTCTGTAAATCATTCCTTTTTTTAGAGTCGAGCATAGCTTCATAGAGAACAATAGAAATACGAGGAATTCCGATGGGGGTCCCTTGTATATAATTTCCATTATCGTCTTCTATTTTTTTTGGTCTTCTGAGCTCAATTTTGTGGATTTTCTAAAAAAAAAAATCAGGAAAATATTCTTAAAAAGTCACACTATTAGAATAAAAAACAAAAAGTTCAATTTTTCGAAATTTTAAACTCTTCTGATCCCCCTTTAAAGCGCGTGGTACATTTATTTATTATAAGCATTATTTGAATATATCAATGATAAGTATATTTCCTGAAATAATTTTATATAATAATCTTTTATTGAATTTTTTTTTCGTGAAATTGTACAATACTTTATGGTAAAGTTACATTTCATTGAATTACTTTCATGAATATTGATTGTATTTTAATTTCGATGTATTACGTCTAATGACGCAATTATATTTACATGCTAAGATACAGTATAACGAATTCTATGAACACGATATATGTCTATACATATATCGAGTGAAGTTTTATTTAACCTGTGCATAAACAAGCGCACATATACATATATATTGCAATATATAAGAACAGTTAAATGCATTAATCATGCTTACACAATTGCAAAATGCACCTTTGATATTCTCCGCATTTCTTAGTAATCAATCAATGGATGATACGCAGGTAAAGTCTAGAATTTCAATGATGCAATGAGAACAATGATAAGACGACAGACTATAGTAGATAAAATCAGATTGTGAATGTATCAAATTTGCTTAACATACGTTGCCACTGTGCTTATCAATGTTAATATTCTCATTAATGCCTCATGACCGGGCATGGCATTTGAAACTTTGTTTAATTAAAATGCAATTGCGATCTTGAGATATCGCATATCCGTTTAGTTACTTCAGATATTTAAATGACGCATAAAATTTGAGTATGCCTTATCGGTAACTATGTTTACGCAGTTTCATTAATTTATTTACATCTCTTCTTTATCGACGATATGAAGCAAGATAAGGCATTGAATGACCTGCCGTGTCATGTTCCAGGTGAAAATGTATAAAGCAAGGACAGTATTCAGTACGCTGGCCCCTTTGGCGCCGCGGATATGCGGCCCCGAAAGATACGCATCCTGGGTGGTCCGTAGTCATCCATTGACTAGGACCAGCCAGTTGATTTTCACGGAGCCCGCGCGCAAATACAACAGCCGAGTAGCAACCGAGCCTTTCTTGAACGGCAGCACCAGCTCTTACGTGGAAGAGATGTACAACGCGTGGCTGCAAGATCCGAACAGTGTGCACGTGGTAAGTAAATATAAATGCATCTTCGCACAAAGATTCAAATCAATTTTTTTAGGAGAAATTAATTAAAGCCTGATGAAAGATAAAAAGAGTGTCTATTTATTATTTTTATCGTTTTTTCTTTTAAGAGCTATTTAATTGTGTCGTTTGTTTATATTATAGATGGAAAGATTTTCCTTAAATTTATTTTGCTCTTGTTTATTTGTAGTCATGGGATTCCTTCTTTCGAAACAGCACCGCTGGAGCTGCCCCAGGATTCGCATATCAGGCACCACCATCCCTCGCTCCAAGTTACAACCAAGTACCACTCGGAGCGTTGTTGCCCCTGGGTGGCGGAACGCAACTCGGTCAGGCGCCTGTTAATGAAAAAATTATTGACGACCATCTAGCGGTGCAAGCTATCATTCGTTCTTATCAGGTATGATATTTTGTTTGCTTTACTCCTGGTAATGAATATAGATGTGCTACTCTTGCAAACAAGTACATATTTTGGACATGATAATTTATCGTGTGTAAGTTTATGAACAATATATAAGAGTGATTAATAATTCACGTAATTATTATTACTTGTATTATTTTTGTTTGCAAGAAGATTATTTTATTCAGACGTATATTTCTTGAGTAACAAAATGATAATTAATTATAGTAAAAATTGCTTTTTAATATTGGTTATTACACTTTAATTATATAAAAATATTATTTTTTAATAAATTTCTGCTCCTATCTCTATTATCTATAAATAATAATGTAATGTAAAATAGTATTCTTTTATTATTATATAACATTTAATAAATTAAATGGGAATCTGGAGAAATCTGCTTTTGAATCATACTAAATTCCATTAAAAGCTGCATGAATAAGAATATAAATATATAACAGCAATATCTCAAAGGTATAAAGGGATATTTTCATAGTTGGTTCTTATTTCAAGACCGTCTTAATAATATCTTAAGCTGCTAATATGTCTCATGTCCGCTTTTACCAATATAAATCACTATAATGTATTAAATAATATTAATAACTTCAATTTTAGTTTGACTTACTTTTTATCTTTTTTTAGTTCTAACAATTAAAAAAAAAATTAAGTGAGATTAAAGTTAATCTATATTAGTAAAAATGGACATTAATGATTGGTTTATAGTTTGACATTTTAGGAATGCACTTAAGATAGTTTTGAAATAAAAACTACGACTATAAATATCGGTTAGTATTTGTAGTTGATTGTAGTTTTAAAAAATGTTGCGATAAAAAAGTTATACGAATTCTCTTTTGCTTTGCCATTTTTAAAACGAAAGCTATTTCTTACTGTGTGTTTGAAATGTATTCATATATTACGGAAATTGCTATGGCATGCATTGATACAGCGTACTTACGTTTTGTTCAATGAAATTTACATATAAATACATTTTATTCTCTATGAAGCTATGCATAAAATACATTTTAAATTCTATTGAACGAAATATTTTAGAATTTTTTGTGTCCCAGTTTCATTTCCATGGAACAGATAAGAATGTCTTTTGGTCGAGATAACATGAATGTGTTAGAATTTATATTTATGTACTTTGCGCGATTATAAACTTTATGCGTCAATATGTCTATGGTTTGAGACGTGGAATGTTTTTTTGTTATTTATTTTTGCTTAATGTTAAGGGGCTATCATGTGTGTTTCCAAATTTTCTGACATTATGTTTGTCTCAAGTATTAACACATGATAAGTGTATTGAATACAAATAGCAAAGATTATGAATATTGTATAATAGCCTCACTTCTTGTATGACTATACTAGTGGCTCACTGCATCTTCTATCTCAAGCATGTCTTGCATCTTTATATTTTTTCCAACAAAAATAATAGGATTTTTTAAATTATGATTTTTTATAGCCTTATCTCTTTCCTTCTCAATATACATTTAGATGTTTCTATCAAGGAAGCAGCACGCTATTTCTAATTATTTTATTAAAACTGTGATAATTATATTTGTTATAGCAATGATTCTATTTTCATTTACTGTAGTGAAATTATAATCATGAGATAAACAAAATCCATTCCTTCACATTGTTGCAATAAATATCAATAATATGTGTTAGTGTATGCTATAAGTAAATATAATTGGTATATTTGTTTGCTAATTTTTCTGTATATAGCCGCTGTATTTTTTTCTTTTTTTTCTATATTGTAACTATGTGTGTACAGTGTAGTTGTGAGAATAGACACAGTTTATATAAATGTGAGGTTTTTTTCGGAATTATTGGCGTATAGGCCCGAGGTCATTTAGTTGCCGATCTGGATCCACTGGGTATTATGCAAACAGACCTGATACACACTCATTATGCAGCTCGCAAAGGATCTCCAGAACAAGTGTTGCGACAGTATATGCTTGGTAAGATTTTTCTTCCTAAGCATTTTCCACGGGCTTTTGTTTTAAAGACGCGTTTTCTTGCCATACGTGCCATACGTATATGAGAATCGCATTATACTTGGTTTGATGTATAAAATACGTACATAGAGCCATAAATTACTCGGCTCATGTTTACTGTAATTTTATTTGAAACATCTTCCCGATATACATTCAATATTATCATTTCATACAATCATAGCCTTTGCATATTAACATCTTACTAGCTGAAAAATTTTTTTAATTTTAGATAAAATTCTAAGGATTATAAAATAGAATTTTTCTACTTTAGATAAAATTTCAAGAGTCTTTAGAAAATAATTACAAAGATTATTTGTAATTTTGATGCAATTTTAGGCGACATAATTGTAAAACAATCTTAATGATTTTCTCTACAACGTATGGAACGTATTTCAAAATTATATTGAAGTAATATCTAAACAAAGTAAAATAAAAAATAACAATTTATTATTTTTTTGTGTTTTTGGAAATTATATTTTTTAAGTTTTTTGTTTTTTCATTGAAAATACCTTATAATTAATGTATTCCTAATAGTTCGAAAGAATTATACAAAACTAAATATTATGTACTGCAAAAGAGAAGGCAACCTTGTGGCAGACTTACACTGATACTGAAAATGTTTGGAAAAGCATTGTACTTGTTTTAGGAATCATAAAAATGAATACGTCTCATCTTTTCATAATAATCGATTATCTAAGCGGATTTCGAATATCTATATACATAATTCGAATATCCATATACATGCAGGCATTTATTCAAGTATGACATTTATCATTATGCATTCATCGCGTTTATATTTGACAGAAAGTAAAAATAGATAAATATATATGTACATTGCCCAATAATATACGAGTAAAACGTTGGAGGTAAGAATAAAGAAATTTATGTTGATTTTTTGCATGTATGATTTGTATATGTTATTGTATATGTATTGCTTTTGGACACCTGCACATATTTTTCGTCTAGTATGCTTGTCTTTATAAAATTTGTATACACTAACATACTGCACGCGATTATTTTTTCTTGTGTGAGTTACGATAAATAAGGGGATGTTTGAGCAGACACTGTTATTATTATTATATCTTTAATTAAATTAAATATAACGCATAATTAAACAAATATAACGCATTAATAATAGGGAAGCTAAGGAGCAGATAACACATTTACAAGTTAAGATATTAGCTTCATGTTGTGCATATTTAATGTTAATTACTGTGATGATGTTTTCTTAAAGAGCATGACGATAGCTTGCATCGAATACTATGTATTATCTATGTCATAATGCACATTCTTTGAGTACAACATCAAGCACAGTAATTTATATTTTGATTAAATATACTTAAATCAAATGAGAATTTGAAAATTATTTGGTTCGCATGAATGTGGCATTAAATTGACAGATTCGTGGCCATCATATCGCTAAATTGGATCCACTCGGCATCAACAGCGCTGATCTTGATGATAGACATCCGCAAGAATTGCTCTATACCCATTATTCATTCGGTAAGCTTAATTAAACGTGTTTCTGCGTAAATAGAGGAGAGTAAAAAAAATTATTCTCGAACAAAAATGCATCATCGATGCATTTGAAAACTAGTAATCGACTTATTATCGAATACTAAACAATAATGATGTAATCGCGGCTATATATCTTCGAGTATGTTCTCATCTATTAATTTTCCGTATAAAATTTATTTACTGGCTGCTATTGCATTTAATTTCTTCTCTCATATTTAATTTAAATGTGGGTGAGTGAATATTTCATTCTTTCAACTAATTTATACACAAGTGGAAACATAATATAAAGTTTTTCTTCGCGTTACAATTCACCATGTTAGTATATTAGTTTATCGCTTATAATTCTTTTAGTATAGCACTTTTTCATAACTATATTTATTTTTTATTTTCTTTACTCGCAAGCAAACTGTTGGTTTGGTATCACTGGTATCAAAAAAGATATTATTGAAAGAGGTAGTGTGCAACATGTTTAATTTAATATTTATATAATCAGGGATCTCTAGATTTATCGGTTTAATTTACTAAATTTCTCGTTTTATTACGAATAAGTATGCAGCAGGTAAAGAATCCTGAATCCTTGGGATCAATTTCGATCCGATCGTTGAGTTTGAGTCTAATGTCCACAGGGAAGAGACCACGCACTACTTTCTCGCAGCAACTTCAATACCGAGTAGCTGTCCTAATGCAAAGTATGTAGTCGCCACCCAGAACGGGACTTTCCCGTAAAGCTCTACTTATGCTAGTATATTGGGAGGCACTGGTTTATTTTGGGTTTACACTGAATCAAATAATTTTCGGTCGAAAGCCTATATATACAGGTGCTTGGGTTCTTCTGCATAAACTTGTATCTCGACTATATAAAGATGTTCGCAGACAACAGCTAGTTTTCAAACGTCCGTACAGGAGGGACATTTGAGTATCGAGTTACGAATATCTTAATACAATAGATGGACTATGAATACGGATGTAAAACTTAAAAAAGAAAACTATAGTTTTGTTTCTTCTTCCTTTCTCTGTCTTTCTCTCCTTCTCTCTGTTAAATCGAAGTGTTGCGTATATTATCTTCGAAATTTTTCTAATACGTATTTTTTTCTTTTTATCTATGTTGTGTTCTTACCATGTTTATATTGCCTTCTTTGCTGTATATTTTTGATTACATCTTTTTAGTTTGTTTGAAACATTTTCAAATGATTGATTTAATGGTGGTTGTTGTTTGAACTAACGATGCTTTACTTAAGCTCACAGCTTTTCTTTTGCATCAAAGAACTTTGTTTTTCTTTCAGTTTCGTATTTGTTTGCACTGTCGTGCGTATAGTGATATGTTGTGACCATCAATATCCTTACATATCTTCCAAAATATACTGCATGTTCGTTTCAGCAGATATTTTGCAGTATGTAAATATTGTATCTATTAAAGAAATATTTATATATATGCGATGTATATTAAATATTTTTTAAATTAAAAATAATTATTCGGTTTTTACTACAAGAAAGAAATTCCTGTTGAAAATAAAGTTTTAAAGACACATTTTCAGTATCAGTTTTAAACAGAACAAATTAAAAAAAGTACATTTCAGTAGTTCAACCTATACAATTACATTTTGTTTTTATATAATTTTATATATATATATATACTCTAAATGGATTATTTTATATTAAATGAATACGAATATAAATGCGCGATATACTTAAACATCTGACTGTGTATAAGTATATAAGAACTGTAACATTTTTTAATTATCAGTGCTTATTTGTAAAACGTATGTATTTTTCATTTTAAATGATTAATACAGAGGAGTCGGACATGGATCGTGTTTTCAAATTGCCATCCACCACATTTATCGGCGGTAAGGAGAAATCATTACCGTTGCGTGAGATCCTGAAACGGCTCGAGGCGGCTTACTGCGGTCACATCGGTGTCGAATTCATGTTCATTAACTCTTTGGAGCAATGCAATTGGATCAGGCAAAAGATGGAAACACCCGGAATCATGGAAATGACGAATGACGAGAAGAGACTTATTTTAGCCAGATTGACACGTGCAACCGGGTAATAACATCGGCACTAATTATATAAATTTAAAAAAAAAGTTCTAGCTTTGAAGTTGAAAATTTTCAGGAAAATCGAAGTATTTAGTCTTTATTCTGTTTTTATTTTTTTTTTTATTTTAATCTTTGTCATAATTTATACTCAAATAGAATTTTTTCTAAAATACCTTTTTAAAGAAAAATTATGCTAAATTGACTTGCGAAAGTATGGAATTCAGTTTCTCACATATTTGCTTAGTGTCTAAGAGATATAGCTAGCAAATGTCTTTTAATCTAAATCACAGATTCGAAGCATTCTTGGCACGCAAATGGTCCTCAGAGAAGAGATTCGGTTTGGAGGGTTGCGAAATTTTAATTCCAGCTATGAAGCAAGTGATTGATAAGTCCACGGAATTGGGAGTCGAGTCGATTGTCATGGGTATGCCTCACCGTGGTCGTCTCAATGTTCTCGCTAATGTCTGTCGTAAGCCACTGAGTCAAATTTTCACACAATTTGCTGCTCTCGAAGCCGCTGATGATGTAAGCATAAAACGAATCGTGTTTTTAACTATAGAAAGTGTATTTTGCTATCGCGGCTAGTTTATTGATCCGAGATTGCTGCTAACGGTAAAGTGATTCCAGGGTTCTGGCGATGTGAAATACCATTTGGGCACTTACATAGAACGTCTTAATCGAGTGACGAATAAGAATATTCGTCTGGCCGTGGTTGCAAATCCATCGCACTTGGAGGCCGTAGATCCGGTGGTTCAAGGCAAAACACGCGCCGAGCAATTCTACCGTGGCGATGGCGAAGGCAAAAAAGTAAGCATTATGTATAAACAAAATTGTACCTTGAATACTTTTTATAATTAGGTGGCAATGAGCGAAAACTAAATAAAGAAAAACGACTTTAAAATTTGAATTATGAGATTAAATAATTATTAAAATGATTAAATATTATTTTGATTTTTTTAGGTGTCCAATAACATGGTGCAACTATATAATCGTGATTATGTGTATAAATATTCATTTTGATGAATATAATTATGTGTATTCTCTCTAGGTCATGTCCATTCTTCTTCACGGAGATGCTGCGTTCTGCGGTCAAGGTATTGTCTTCGAAACAATGCATTTATCTGACCTGCCTGATTACACCACCCACGGCACTATTCATATTGTTGTGAATAATCAGATCGGTTTTACCACCGATCCGAGGCATTCACGATCGTCGCCGTATTGCACTGGTTGGTATTTACTGGTTAAAACAGAATTGTTTTTTTTTTTCTAATAGCAGTAATTATCACGAATTTATTTATTAGATGTGGCTCGAGTAGTGAACGCACCCATCTTCCATGTGAATTCCGATGATCCCGAAGCCGTGATGCACGTGTGTAAAGTTGCGGCGGAATGGAGGGCTACCTTCCACAAGGATGTTGTGATCGATTTGGTCTCCTACAGACGCAATGGCCACAATGAGATTGACGAACCGATGTTCACTCAGCCTCTGATGTATCGTAAGATCAAGAACACTTTGTCAGCCCTTGACAAGTATGCCAACTCGCTCATCGACAATAATGTCGTCACTCCTGCGGAAGTTGAGGTACGATAGTTTCATGTACATAATATATTTTATATTAAATGTCTTTAAGACTGTTACATGAATACACAACTAGGAAATAAACATTCAGCTCAAATGTATGAGGCTTTCGTTTCATAGTGAATATTTTATATAATTACTTTTGCAATATAAAAGCGACTATTCTTTAGGATGTCAAAGCCAAGTACGAAAAGATCTGCGAGGAGGCCTATAACAATGCTAGGCAGGAAACACACATTAAGTACAAAGATTGGTTGGATTCACCATGGTCAGGTTTCTTCGAAGGAAAAGATCCGTTGAAGGTTTCGCCTACTGGTATCAAGGAAGACACGCTCATACATATTGGAAAGAAATTCTCATCGCCGCCACCGAATGCTGCTGAATTTGTCATCCACAAAGGTGAGTAGAGTAGCGTTAAAAGATGAATGTGGTAATATTTTTTCTCTAATAAAAAGATATATTAAATTTAAAAAAGCCCAAAATAAAACATAATAAAAAATTAAAACTACAAATTTATAAAAATATATTTACAAAATTTATATAGTAATTTATGTAGCAATACATAATTTATACAATAGCGTTAGGAAAAACATGGCAATTATTTTATTACAGGTATCGAGCGTATTTTGAAATCTCGCATGGAGATGATTGAGGCTAGAACTGTCGACTGGGCTCTTGGCGAAGCTATGGCTTTCGGATCTCTCCTTAAGGAAGGTATTCATGTTCGTTTGTCAGGTCAGGACGTGGAGAGAGGCACATTCTCTCACAGGCATCACGTATTACATCACCAGACTGTAGATAAGGCGACTTATAGGCCACTCTGCTACTTGTATCCTGATCAGGCACCTTACACAGTGTGCAACAGTTCTTTGTCTGAATTTGGTGTTCTCGGTAAGATTATAGTTTTTACAATTCTGATATAATTATAAATACGTTCTCAATGTAGTAACTGTACTGAAAATCTATAACACTTATAATGTGAATTATAAATTTTTAATACTGTTAGTATACGTATTTCGAAATATACCGTATGTATTAAGTGCTTCATAATTTTTTCATATTAAAATAATTGTAATTATAGGATTTGAACTGGGTTATTCTATGACGAATCCTAATGCGTTGGTGTGCTGGGAAGCTCAATTCGGAGACTTTAACAATACGGCGCAATGTATAATTGATCAGTTCATCAGCAGCGGTCAAGCTAAGTGGGTTAGACAATCCGGTCTTGTCATGTTGCAACCGCACGGTCTTGAAGGAATGGTAAATCCACAAAATCATTAAATTACTTTACGATATAATTTAATCCTTGATATATAATTTACTTCTTGAAATATGACATGGAAACCGGTTACCATTCACCTCATATTCACTCACATAATCTTCAATTCTCTAATCTTGTATAACCGAGGTATACATATAAATCAACCCGACAATCGTTAACAATAATATAATTTATTTATTGATTTCAAATTCGCACTCTCTTTCTTTTTCTTCGTAGGGTCCCGAGCATTCTAGTGCTCGTTTGGAACGGTTTCTTCAAATGTCTGCCGACGATCCGGATTATTTCCCACCGGAAAGTGAAGAGTTTGCTGTTCGTCAGTTACATGATAGTAATTGGATCGTCGCCAACTGCAGCACACCAGCGAATTATTTCCACATTCTGCGACGGCAAATTGCATTACCGTTCAGGAAACCATTGATCCTGATGACACCAAAGTCGTTGCTCCGTCATCCAGAGGCTAAGTCTAACTTTGACCTGATGCTAGAAGACACGCAGTTCCTCAGAGTGATACCTGAAGAAGGCACGTCGACTCAGAATCCCAACGGCGTCAAGAGGCTGCTGTTCTGCTCCGGGAAGGTCTACTATGACCTGAAGAAAGCGCGCACAGAACGGAAATTGGAAGACAAAATCGCAATTGCGAGAGTGGAACAGGTCAGTTGTTATTTTTAGAATAAGTCAATCATCAATCATGTTTGATTAAATTTTATTTAATTATATAATTAATCATAAATATTCAATGTATGTCAATATTTTAATCGATTCTGCTGTAGATCTCGCCTTTCCCGTACGACCTCGTCAAGATAGAGGCTGCTAAGTATCCGAATGCGGAGTTGATCTGGGCTCAGGAAGAGCCTAAGAACCAAGGCGCATGGACTTACGTGCAACCTAGGTTCCACACGGCGCTCAACGGCATCCGAAACGTAGTGTAAGTATCAAAAGAAATTGATAGCGTTTTCAACTGCAGTGGCTTTGAATCGATTCGTAGTTGATTAATCAAGTCATATGTTTTATTTTGGTTTTTGATTGGACGAGATCACTTACGATCTTTAATCAATCAAACTTTATTTAATCAATCAACTTTACTCGATCAATCTCGGATCGATTCAAATCCACTGCAGTCGAAAACACTGAAATATATACGTATGTGTGGATATGTATGAATGCACTCATGTTACATTGCGTTTTAGTTTTTTATATCTTTAACTGTTTACACGGCCCACTTTTTTATTTTGTTGCGACACGCCGAATTTCGCAATCGATGTACATATTTGGAGAATAACGCATTTTTGTTATCTTTTTATAAGTTATCTCTTTATGAATGATAAAGAAAGTCGTTTGCTTACTTCGTTTTATATGTTTTATCAAAATAAAATGAAAATTTGGGCCGTGTTGCAGTAGCGCGTCAAACTCAAATGGTCAAGGGTGGTTCGCCGGTTTGTTCTCGTCGACTAAACCGATTGAAACCACAACTGTGTCAAAGCCGCAGGCAACAGAATCAATGGAACCAACGGAACCAAAGCAAAGAACAGTGAGGTAATATGGTCGGCGAGATGGTCGATGGAAGATTGGATTATTATAAAATTATTGTAAATTAATTTTCATTTAGATATAAGTCATTTATTTTAAAATCATGAACGAATCACTGAAATATTATTTCTATTTATGATTATGTTACAAAATTTATAATATTGTAATTATATTTAAAACATGAAAATATATTTTATTTTATATAAAATAATTATATATGAAGTTGCGGTAAATTATATAAATTTGCTGCCATTATAGTAATATTTGCACTTTGAACTTCAGTAATTTCAAAGATTTTTTTATTAATTAATTTTTTTATTAATAAATCGTTTATTACTTTTTTATTTGTTAGGATTGATATTGTTGGCGTATGTATCACCATGTTGTAATTGTATCACATTTTAAAACTAATTTTCATATTTTGAGCAATCTGTATTGGTGTTTTAGGTACGCTGGACGTCCCACTGCATCGTCACCCGCCACTGGAAGCAAAATGCAACATCTCAAAGAACTCAAACAGTTGCTCGATGACTCCCTCAACTTTTAATGATCCTTTGTGGCACTACATGTAGAACCGAAAGTTTATTTATTTTTCTCATATTTTAATGTATACATTACGACAATTTTGTCTTGCTCGATACACCACAGAACAGAGATTATATTACCGTAGCCGTTTAAATGATTTCTTCGCACACAATGGCGAGCCCTATTTAAGTTCGTAGCGCGCACAAATGTTTCACGCTCGTTTATTTGAAATATAGTTTTTTTCTTGTTTCTTAATTTTTCCTTTTTTTTATTGACGTATGTATACATACACACAGCTATCACAGGTTAAACTGTGATAACTTTCAGTTAATATACTTGAATATTGATTATTAATTTATATTATCTTTTAGCTCATGCTGTCTCAATCAATTACTCATTTACATGTGTATTTGATTCTTTTATCTATGTTTGAATGTGAATTTTATGCTTTTTTTTTCTTGAATTTGCGCGTTTTTGCATGTAAGTCTGAATGATGCTTAATGCGTGTGATTGAGTTTATTGAAAATTTAGGTATATATCAGTTTTGTAGATATATATATATATGTTTGTTTAAACAAACAAAAGAGAAACTTGCTAGTCCATTGATCTACGTAAACGTGAAATATTTGTGCGTTCATTGTTCTCTGTACTTCAGCCTGTTCGTACTTTAATTCTAAATTAATTTTGTGAAGTCGATAAGATTTTACAGAAAGGGAAAGTATTATTAATTTATGCAATGTTACGCAGCGCGTACATTTTAACGTGTAGTAACGTATAGTCTTGTAATACACTTCGAACCGAAGAGACTGTCTATGGCAAAAGGCTATGTGTTACATAATGGCCAATTTTTTTTCTCTAGTAATTATTTATGCGCCATGAGACTGTTGCCAATCACTTTAACTTTTTATCGTCGCTGTATTTTTATAAAAAATTAAATGATTGGCGGATTACACGCGTTCTCAACGCAAAAGAAATGTGACGTAGCACTAATCCTTCGAGATATGTATATCTCTGTCTGCTTGGCTTCGGTTGTACTGACACGGCATTAGGTGCCAGTAATAGAAGTACATCGAACTCGGTTCTTTGATCTTGGTTTAAACTTGAATGCGTGTCGCGACCGAGGCCCTAGTGCTACCCCATGGACAGTGTCGACGGATACAGCTCTCAGTAAAAAAAATGTTGAGAGTGGAAGACAAATTAGTAATATCTAGCGTTTAGGAATTAATTTTAATAATAATTTAACCGAAAAAAAACCGTGGCTCGCGTGGCCGCGTGTGTAGCGTAGCGAAAGTGCGTAATATTTAATATTCTTCTATCTGGATCGTTTGAAAAATGGGATGCACGAAGAAATTTTGAGACGCTATGGCTGCATGATCTTTGCGCTGATCAAAAGAGAGCCTTGTAATATTCTTTTCGTATTGTCGAAAAGCAGTCGGTGACAAGAAAGTAGTCTTGTTATTTTACTTGATACCTTACAAAATGATAGTTATGTGATATCTCTATTGATCTAGCACGATATTGTTAGTTCAACAAAAGCCACAATACCTATCGTTCTATTTGTTCCTATCCGTTGTATTCGTCATATATGCGTAATTGTAACAATAATACACGGAACACGATGTGCTTAAAACATTTTCTGTCAAACAAATAATGTTTGACATTAAAAAATTTTATTTAGTAAACACCACTGATATTACACCCGATATTATTGTAGTGTATTATTGCTGATTGAATTAAATTGTCTCATCGTCTCCACGTGTCGTGATCAATTTTGCCCCTTCGAAATAGTTCTTTGAAAAATAATAGGTAGAAAACGTAGCTTATATTGTGTAGATTTTTTTTCAGAACGTTAAGAGTGCACTATGTTGATACCTATCTAAAAGTACTCAAATCTCGCAAGAAGAAAAATTCCGTAAATTGAAATTTTAGAGAGGAAAGGAGGATAAAAAACTCAACTTATTTTGTGAAAATTAATTTTTCATTTTATGCGTGATGTTAAAAGTATAATATAGTGTGTAAATAGAGTGTCAAAAAATAGATACATCGAGATATGTGGAAAGAAAGGAGTAAGCTATTTTGGTGCAAGCCAGCGAAAAATATTAATCTCGAGTAGAATGCAATGTTGCAAGCCACGTACTACTAACGACGCGTATTAAAGTAACTATTATTACGCTTAAGAGATACACGGCACTGTGTTTCATCGGGCAAGCAATGAATGTCAAGTAGGTCTGTTCTTTTCCGAAGATTTCTGAAATAGTGCAATAAGTTAGAGTGAAACAAACTATACCTGTCTCACTCTAACTTATTGCATCAGTGTACACCAATTCAGAATTTGAGGTGAAAAAAGAAGAGACCTAGAATTCGTCAAATTCGCGCTCCTAAATCTTCGCTGGTGCAATGACGTAATTTAATTGCCTAAGCTGGACACGCTCGACACTCGTTTTATTCTGCGTAGTACAATAAATAAAATATATAGATTTATTTATAATATATAAATAAACAATGTAATAAATTTATAGCGTCAGTTCGGCTTAAAATTCGGTCTGCCCCAGCACACTGTACATAATCCTCTTGAAGCTGTTGCTCTGATGGATCTTCTCGCCGTCATCATCGAGCACGGTCATCTGAAAATTAGATTATTCGCAACCGCTCTCCACGTCTCCAAATTATAAAGGTGCTCCACAAATGAGCTATGTTTTAATTTGTACAGCGTATTTTCTATCTCGCAAAGCGGCATGCATATATTCGTAGTGAATTAATGCGCATTATATAAAAAACATAGTATTTTGCAGTGAGAGCGCATTTATCCTATGAATTAATTTCTCTACGCGAAAGCAGGCGAACATTTAATGTAAAAGTATCAGAAAATGCACGTACAAGTTTCTGCGAAAATTTTAATAGTCGTTGATAAAGTCCTTAACGAAAGGGAGGGGGAAAGGACGTCTATATGATCCACCCTTAACGAAACAGATGCCGAAGATTAGATCGGTGGCGTCTTTGACTGTGATGGTTAACGTTAGTGACGATAATGTATGTTAGATGTATTAACATGAGGTAATCGTCGTTAAACAATCGAATGATTTGAATATGTCTGCAAATTTAAGGATGTGTTAAACGTATAGTCTCTGCAAAAAATGACAAATTGCAAATTTATAGTATTTATATTTTTTGTATAAAGACTTAAAAATGAATGTTATATTATTAGACATATGAAACAATTGAATAAGGTCAATATTTAGCAATTTTTTAGTTTAAATGAAAATTTTCTCATATTTTATCTTAATTATTTTTTAAAAACATGTCTACTTATTTTGAAATAATTTTTGATCCAAGTTTTAAATCGTCTCTAAATATTTTTTATTGCTTTAAAATGCGATAAAGAAAAATATAATTTTTTTGTTTTGTTAAAAAATGCGTATAATACATCCTTAAAGGAGGAAGTGTCAAATCCTCCACGCAATATTCCGTCGGTGAGATGCGGCGGACGATTATTACCGAGAGATGACTTGGCACGGTGTTTCAGTAGACGCAAAAGAAAGAAGTACAGGAGAAATAGCGTCTCGTGCCAAGTCGCTTATATAATCCGATGCCGTTTTATCGTCCGGCTGCGTTGGGTAACTTATAGAGTATGCGGTGCCGAGCCAGTGATCGATAAATCTTTTCGATAAATAAATGGCGAACAAGTAAAAAGTGACGCGGTAATTGAGTAACGTGAAAAATTATTATCTTACTATTTTAATGACGAAAGAAATATTGTCAAAATATTTCCCTTGTCGAAATCGTTAAACATTTTTTTCAACAATTCAACGCTTCTCTATAGATCTGTGAGGTGAGCAATGCGGCCGACCGATTTCGCGCGAGATGTGAAGATCCTCAAATTCGCGTCGAGAATATAGTAGTCTACGCAGCTGCGGCGACAGCTCTGAAATTCTTGCACAGAATCCATGCGGCGACATGCGAGTGAGAGATGCATTCCCGCGTAATCTCAGCCCGGCAAAATATTTTCTACTGTGCGCCCCGCAAAATCGATCGTGAATCTGATCGAGAATAATGCGGATACTTACATATGCGGGACTCTTCGGCGGAGCCTGGTACATCTGTACAACAAATAGTATCATTAAACGCAGTATCTTAAATTTTTCTTCAAATTCTTCATATAATTTTTCATAATTTCTATATAAATTTCAGATTTGTTCAGAATTTCTGTGTATAATTTTATAACTTTTTACAAAATTTCTGAGTTTTTACGTTATATGAATTGGAACATTTTTCAGAAATACCGAGGAAGTCTACATTTTCCTAAAATTCTTTATATATGTATGTGAATGTAATAATTTCTGAAGAAAACAAAATCCCAAGGTATTTTTCAGAAATCTTCAAATATTTAATTTCTAAATTTAAAATATAAAAAATTCTTAAAAATATTACGAGATATTATGAAAAATTTTTTTACCAGTGGAAAGAGAAGAATTTATTGAATCAAGACGAAAAAATCGTCCTCGAAAAAATTGAATGGAACCGAGAAGAAAAAATTTATGTACCCTATTCGATTTCTGCGGCGTGAAGACACCGGTGCGAGCCGGCTGTCTGACTTCCTGCACCTGATCCCCGAATTCCTCCTCTTGCAGGGCCTTGTACGCCTCGCTCTTGCTGGGATCGTACTTGACTGGTTTCTTCAGGCTGCACGTACCGCATGTGTACACAGGGGATGACTTTTAATTTCTCTTTTGTTCTCTCTCACGTGTGACTTTTATCTTTCTCTTTTCTTTTTGTTTTGTGTTTTCTATCCAGATCGGTTAGCAGCGGCCGGGGTTACAATTTGCCAATTTGCGCTTGCACATTTTATACTTATGTTTGCTTTAGTTTGTTCGAGAGCGACTTTCAGACGCGTCCTTCAGCCGAGTTCAATCGAGAAAGAGCGGTCATTCCTCATCGTGCAAACTCTGCGTGCATGCCCGATCAAGAAGAACGCGTTCGTCGGACACTTCAAAAATTGCGCCTTTCATCTTTGGAAAAAAAATATTCGAAAAATAGTAGATGCAAAAATAATCCCTTGTTATACGAAAATAAGATCTGAAAACACTAGCAGCTTTTCAAAACACTTTCCAATGTCTTTAATTTAAAACAAAATCTGTTCGTAATTTTATTTCTCACCATCAAAATTCTGTTTTAATCCTACGATGATAATCTCTTATCGATAAAAAAAAAAAACAGAACAAATAAATTAAATCATATACTAATCGCGCGCGCGACGAAAAAAATGAGGGGAAAATGTCTTACAAAAGATGCTCTTAATATTTTTACTTATACTCTTATTATTAATTAATATATTCTTGCAAATATAATTTTCAGATTATTTTTATTCCCATTAAATTCTCTGCGGTGCTCGTCATCTCAAAAAAATAGAAGCAGCAAAAATAGATTTCCAATGGCGCAATTTTCAAAAGTCGTCTCGAATTATTCGTGCACGGTATCTACGATACAAGCATATACGTACACTCGTTAAGGAAACGACGAAGTTAGTAGATTTTCTCACATATTCTCAACTACTATATTCACATTATTGATTATTCACTACTCTGCTACATGCAAGAATTTACTGCTAAAGGAAAAGCTTTTGTTGCACGGACTCGCGGAGACCTTAAGAAATTTACAATTTTTTTAAAATAATTCATATATATCTACAATTTCTACTATATGTGTAATATAAACGGCAAACTGACCCGAAATAATAATCGCACAATCATTTTGAGGAACTCGCATACTCAGTGGCCACGTTCACTGTATTAAATTCTATCGACAATTAAATTAATCGTTTAAATTAATTACTCAGATTTAATTAAAATATTGATAACAGTCGGAAAGATTTTCTGCGTTTGAGATAAATAATTCAATTGTGAGATTTTAATGACAGCATCGCGAATAATCAAATCGTTAATTGAATGAATACCCAAAATATTTCTGTTGACTTGTGATAATTATTTCTCGATATTTTCAGTAATCTCAATTTTTCGTATCCGTTATTTAAAAATTTTTCTCATTAGACTGTATTACAAAATTTTGTTAATTTAACAGTATCGACAGACAAATGGATAATTTTCTATTTTAAGAGAACGTGCCCAATGATTCACGTGAAAACCGGGAAACTCTGCCGTCGTAGTTCCGACGTACGAGAAGCATCGGAAAACGTCTCGAACGTCTCTCGACAATTTTTAATTTGGTTTATTGAATTGCGGCCACACATTCTTCGAGGCGGCGGCCTTCGCCTGCTCTTTCAAGATTCTCGCTTGCTCCTGTATTTCCTGTTTCTGTTTCAGGAAGGAAAAGTCTATGAAAATGCTGGAAAACAAACAAACCGCTACGTAAGTAATCAATCATCAGAAGGATCTGATAGAGCCGTACAGGAAAAAAGAGAGAAGGAGCCGATATCCCTTCTCATTTAACGATCGACGATCGTGCGTCCTCCGAGTAAACTCGATTTATATTTCTCCAATTGACAATTTCTTTTCCCGAATTACAGCCTTCATAGAAACATCGTCTTCCGAAAAGGATAATTTTTTTTCTCATTCGCGTTCCGTTATTTTCTAAAAACAAGTCTCAGAAAATTATTTTGGCGTAAATCATTAACGCTTCATGGACGTTTAATTAAAAAACATGCCTATACAAAATAAGTGGATTAATACAGATCAATAAAAATTCATTTTATTTCCCAGAATAAATTCGTGTCGATTTCTTTGAATTCACTCCAATTATCTTTCACATTATTGTCTTCCACTGCGATTATCAACCGTGCGAATTAACCTGTTAATTTCAATTCACGTGACAATTAAACTTTCTCGCACACGATTTTTATTATATGATAGCAATTTATGCGAGTGTGAGTGGCATTCAGCGATGAAGCCAATTTTATATTAATTGTATTAATCTGTGACTGCTGCAAGCATCACGGCATTAGCGATTATACATATGTATATATGCTAAATATGTTCAGTGGTTAAAGAATAGTTAAGAGAGAACTTAGTGGACACTCGCGTGAATAGATTGACTACTTACGGTACGGCGGACGCTTGGCACTTGATAGTGTCTGCGATGTTTTGATCCGAATAAAGTCCGATCGGCGAGTTGAATTGCTTGTGGACAATCTAGAAAGACAGAATTTACGTTTACGATCGATGTAACACAGAATTTGCGGTATATATCGCATAGAACTCGAAATAGCTCTCGTGGTTTAAAACAATACGACCAAAAATTACACAGTTTTATAAGCAGAAGCGCAAAAGAAATTATTTTCGTTTTTTTTTATTTTAACTTTTATCTGGAAGACACAAAACATTTGAAAAATAATGCTGGGTACCGTCACATGGACGTTTTTAAACTTTTGTATAATATAAGCGGAATCTATATATATTAACGCGTTATTAATATGAATGTTTACTAGACAGAGAATGTTCACTAAAGATGTTGCGTATTGTTGTTGCGATTTGTCTTCGAGTCGTGTCGCTTGTGACTACGATATTACGTTATGATAATATAGCGCTGTAAAAAAATAAACATAACTCTAGTCTGCTGGCACTGTGGACAGAACGAATATTTGACTAATGCCAAGTTTCCATTATGTCAGAAATTCACAGTATTAACAAACGGGTTTGACTCACGATGTTTATTATTCTACAAAGCACTGCCATTACAAAATAATCTCATAATGTAATTATAATCGTCATTATTCATGGTTTCGTTACATCTTGTACCTTCATTTTCCTGTTTCGAAACACGTTAGTGACAATAATCAAAGCAATACCTTTACCGGTAAATTAATGTTATTTAAAATACGAATTTTTGGTAATCGAGTTAATTTATATCACATCGTGTAAATTAAATTGGATTTAATTATTAAAATAATTCAATTCAATTAATTTTAATCATAAATAGGAGTTGATACAAGCTGTATCGATTCACAATGTAATCGATACGTTGGTATTATTTTTCGGATTCTCTAGTTACAAATGGATCCAGAGGACATCCTGTATTAATCCTGTAATAATCGCGTTAATATCGCGATTATAATTATTATTAGTTATTAGTGAAAATTATCATAACAGCGGGGATATCTCGTCAAACGAAACTCAAGTTTCTTGCAGATATGTATATCGGTCGTCCAGAAAGCGTAAGCGTTTCTCGAAGCAGAAGCGGCTTACGAAAGTAAACAACGGAAGTGATCCAAACCTTTGGAACTTCATTCGGTCCCACGACACGCTGAAGTACTGTTTCTGCCACCTGCTCAGACGACGTGCAAATAAAATACAATTTAAATCCTGACTTGACAAATGCGTCTCCAAAAAAGTAGAACTTATTCGCAAGTACGTCGCAGAATTGAATTCGGATGATTTTATAACGTCGATTTACCTTGTGCTTCATAGCAACTTCAGGATGAGCCGGCTCGTAATGATGGGGTGCTGCCCTGATCATCGGATTCGGATGATGCCGCAGGTAGCATTCACCGAGAGGGGCATCCTTCTTGACCTTGGCACCTGGTAAGACCAGAGGAGTCGTACGGTAGGGCTGAAAGATTTCACAATTGTAACTCTATCGGCATCGGTATATTATATTTTACTATTATATATATATATATATATATAATTATTCATAAGCGTATCAAGAATTTTTTGGAGTGGAAAAGATTATCAATTCTGTTGTCACATAAACAACATTGTATTAATAAATTGTTTTTCTTAGATATTTTAGAGCTTCGAATGTCTCCTTTTTATTCCTGTTTCTGAATAGGACAAATATTAGATTTTGTAAACTATATAATTTTTATTTTTTTTTCTGAAGAAAATATAGATAACATACTGTTATTAAAAACGAAATGCGTAGTTGTAAATGAAGTTCTCATATAATATGTATGTATATAATATAATATCTGACGATGAATGTACATTCTGTTTTTCGACTCACAAACCTTGCAAAAATTTTCTTATACGTCAGACACTCTGTTAAAGCTCTGACTAACAGAAGTTTCAGAAATTATTTACATGATCCTAACGAGAGAAAAAAAATATTTTGTGTGACAACAAAGAAATCATTCAGAATCAAAAGTAAAGTTGTATTTTTTTACAATTAAGAATGAAGAAATAAAAATTTTCGGGAAACTTTCAACCTCCCAAATCTCTCTAGATACGCCCATGAATATAATAATATTATTCATATAATGTATTATTTATTGATATGCAACATCTTATTGTATAATAAATTATAGAATTAATATCTGGCTGTCGTAAACTGATATTAACGATAATGATGGTAACTATGCAAGTAATGGTTAATAGGGCAGATGAAATAATATCTTGTCGAAGCGGTGCCAATTAACTAACGAGATTACTAAAATAAACCGCAATAGAGGCCATGGTGATCGAAAGATGGTTCATTAATTCCTGACGCTTCTTACGCCGCATAATTCCGAGCAACGACAAAAATAAATAATGATGATGATATCACAGCTTAATTTGACAGTGATCCCATTTCATAACATTAACGAGGTGAAGTGCAAGTTAAAAAAGTACCAATTATTGGTCGCGATTTTATATCTCTTTAAAAGATGTCTTAAAATAATTAACGACCAGATAACATCACATTTGTGACAGATAAAATCTTTCTTTTGCGAATACCTACTTCTTTTGTTTCTAAATTGTTCTATTTTAAATCATTTAAGAAGAGAAACAATGAATATTTGACTTCTTAAATTAAATATTAAATAAATATAACTCTATTATAGATATTCTATATTTCCTATATTTTCGTGGTATAAATAATACTTTAATAGGTCAAATATTTCTGGCTAATGACGTTGCGAACCGGAAGTGATATCATTTGACGATGATCTCTAAAGAAGCAAAAATTTCGAGGAGCTGGCTCACAATGAGAAAATTATATCAAATCGACGGTCATCCTCGTGGCATTATGAACGAATTCGACCTGCCAAGTTACGAGTCGTTCCGTCACGTGCCGTCGTTTTTGCGCGATGTTACGAAATTACGCAAATTTGCAGGTGCATCGTACATCGTCGATTCACCACGCGGATCTTCTATGTTTACAGCACGAGTTGCCGAAACATCCATAAAAACAAACGCGAGGTAAGATCTTAGACGAATTCTCTCACGTAATATTCTGTCGCGGATATTCTCGAGTAGTCACAAGCCAGAATGAAAATTTGGAAATGCCAGACATTATTATCTCGACCTTTGGAGACAGTCGTAAATAAAACTTTCCGTGATATTTTCTCAGAAAGCAATTTCTCATTTTACTTTCCAGGTAAAGATCACGTTTAATCGCTTTTGAAGAGCGACTTGAGATTTACGAGCAATTCATCAGCAACGTTTTCGTCAGTTTTGAAATTATTACATCTTAAGCTGCAGAATACAATGAAAAAATATCACAGATGTGTTAATATCATGTATCTTTATCTAATAATAAAATTTTTCTCGCATTTTGACTTTTGTAACTTTTCAGATCAATCTCTTTTTAAGTAGAACACAGAAAAAAAGATCATAATAGTATCATAAGAACATCATCTTTTGTTACTTATACACCTTATTTGTTACTTATAAGTTTCTTTTGTTTTTTAACATCAAGTGACGTCCTATAATATCATTATAATTTTATTGTGATATTGTATTCAACCTGCGTTAGTCAAAGATATAAAAATATAATAAGAAATAAAATTATAAAAAATATTATTATCTTTACAATATATAACTAATTAAAAATTGGTCGTCACTTGGACAATTGAAGATAATAATAAAGAAATTTAACAAATATTGCGACTAATAGATTAAATAATAAATATATTCCAATATATATAAAAATACAAAATTTCCGATATAATTTATAAAGTGTTCGAGCTTTTCAGTACAGTTGAATTATGCAGCTATTGTTCAAAAGTATTTGCTGCGTTTAGCAGAAAAAGCAGCTTTGCACTGTTGTAAGATTTTTAACATGATTGATTTATACATTTAAATCCAATAAGGGCAGGGCTAGTAGTATTAAAAAATTTTAGAGAAAACAAAGCTGTGCTTTTTCCGCTGAACGTAGCCAAGGTGCACGTTGAAACGTTGCACAATTTTAGAATCGCGGTCGCGGTTGCAAGTTCGCGCGCAAGTTTCACGACATGAAATCGCACGATTACGATGATTCCATTATAAATGGGTCAGAAATGTTCCATTATGTTAGAGGGTGAGCCGTGATTCTCGAAATAGATGAAGGCCCCCGGCCGGCAAAAATAACGCGCACCCTGAGCCACAAAAACCGCCTATCCTCTCGCACCTCTCTTGTTCGCTTCTTTCCACCCGTGACTTTTTCACCAGGAAGCGTTTCGCTCGTTTCGTTCTTGGACGGGGAACGTTGGCAAGGTCGCACGATGATTAAGAAGGAAGGAATAAGTTGAATGCAAAGCTGTATAAAGCCCAAGAGGGCGTTCCACTTCTATTTTGCGATTAATGACAAATATCTCGATGTACAATATTTGAAATGGATGGAAGTATTTGTTAGATAAATCTTGATGAAACCTATCCTATCCAATAATGTTACAAAAATTTTTGCTTTTCAAACTTCTAAGATCTAAAATCATTAATCAATTTAACGCGAGAAATTGTATTACTTAATATTAAATTCATTACTTAATTCTATTCCTTTAAATTTGAAAAATAAAATAATGAATTTTTATTTGTGTGAAGTTTAATATTTAAAGAAGAGAGACTGATTGTCTCCTAAAAGTGGTAAAGTATATAATGATCGTTTAAAAATCGAGTTGTTTAAAATTCGGTTGATTGATTTAATTAATCAACGAAATTTTTATTTTGCGAATCTATGATCTTTTTCTTTTTTTAGAAGATTTGCGGGAGGTGCGCACGCTTATGCGTCGTTTTGTAAAAGGTCTTTCGAACTAAATTCAGACGGAGCAAAACAGCTGTTTCACGAAGTGTTTATTGCTTGGCGTCGAGATGAAACTTGAACTCTTTGGAAACTGATTGGAGCACGTTGGCAAGAGGCACGCTAACGAACAGATGTTTCAACTTCATTAATACATACTGGAAGATGCAAAATTATAATTGAAATAATATTTGAATTAATTTTATAACGGGTAAATTCCGATTTATTTCATTTCTGACGTAAACATAGTTAATGTTAAAATCGTCCATAATTACATCGCTTTCTGATTTTAAAAATCATATTGCCAAAATAAGAATAAATAAATTGATTAAAATAATAAAAATAATTAAACATATTTAGTATATAAAGATACACTAATTTTTATTTTTTATATTTCTCAGTTTTTTCATCAAGTTTAAACGTTTCATTGAAGTGTCCTACATTCCAATAAGAAAGAAATAATAAATTACAAATAAATTTTTGTATCATGGTACAGAATAAATTATCGCTTCATGCGTGTAAAAATAATCATACATTTCTATTCGAATATTATTCGGGGAATAAAATTTAAAAAATGGTATAAATGCAATAAAATTTTAAAAATGATTCTGAAACCCGTTGATAAGTTAATTAATCGCAATAAAAACGCTGCTTCTTGAAAAATCTCTCGATTTTTCGAACGGAAGGTAAGTTCGAAAAACGCAGACCGTGGGTGTGTCTTTGTATAACGACTTCTCCTACGTGTTCGTGAGTAACCCAGATCCCGTTCACGAAAATAGAACACGATACCGATGAACGGCATCCGTAATGGCGATGCCTACGTGCGTTTTATTGCATAGCGTGTTATTAACGCCCGCGCAAGTCTGCCTTTCATCTTGGTGGCTCCGATTAACTCCGAAATCGGTGTACCCTTCTCGAGGGCGGGGTAGGCGAAATTAATCAAGTTCCATTGCGAATGGCAGAATTGTTCTGCGGATACGTGTACTGTGTCAAGGTTGAACAACGCGAAATCTAGATCGTCTGACGAACTTATTGCTTGTGTCGTTATATTCGATATCGACGCGTGGAGCTAAAACTTGCATTATTGCAGAATTTTAATATTTTTAGAGTGGTCCAGCGACGTTGTTAAGCTCGAGCTTTAGGATCGTTATATTTTGTCGTGGACATAACCACGCATAAATATCATCCAGACAAAAAAAACAACGAATTTTATAGAAGGAGGTGATAATGTTCTAACAGGTACAATGCAGAGTTCAAATAAGAAGAGAAAATCGTTTTGAATGAGAGAAAATCACTTAGTGTTAAAAAGAACGTAATTTATAAGTAATAAATAAATCTACTTATATATAAACATATACTTTTAATTTACATTTATTGAATCTTATTCGTATAATCAATTAAATAACTAAATAAATAATTTTCCTATATGTATATAGTTTCACCTATAATGTGAATAATTATTTAATCAATTAAAAAAGGCTTAAAATAATTGGATGTTAAATAAGAAAAATTCTAAGAGATATCTCTATCAAGAGAGAACAAATCTGGCATCGCAAGAATACAGATTTCACAATAAAACGCACGTGACTTGCGCTATCTCTAATCTAAAAATATTCGTTTGAATTAGAAAAGAATTCTAGAAAAGAATTTTGGAAAAAATAAGAACAAAACTTTTACGTTAACGTATTTTTCGGGCGTCTTCGCGATGCTTTTTCGACAATGTAGCTCGTCACTCGCGCGCGAGATCCGCAAGCACATCTTGGCTACGAGGAAGGTGCACGTTCAAGGGCAAAGGAAAGAAACGTCTCGCGTTTTTGCTCGTGCCCGATGTGATTCTTCCTCCTTTAATGAGTCTAAGCGAAACCGATGAAACTTCTCATCTCTTTCGTACCCAGTAAACAGCCGCTTCCTCCTCCTTCGGATGATGCTCGATGTTGTAACGATAGACGGTCGTGTAAGCGGGCATCTTCTCGTCTCCGTCCGAGAGGCGTCCCGCGGAGAGAGCTTCCCTCGCAACCACCGACCTTATGTCACCCCTTTCGCGCGCGGCAACCCTTTCGCGGCTCTCGCAATCGTCCTCGTTCTCACGTCGTCCCTCGTTCGCGACTATCGCGGGATTATTCGCGCTTAAGCACTACTGGCTCGACGCGAGCGCGGGCGGCACTAACTCTGGCCTTTTCCACGCGACTCCTCTCTCTCTCTCTCTCTCTCTTTCTCTCTTTTTCTCTCCGGAGACCTCTCTTGAAACTCGTTCGCTTTCAAAAAGCTCTTGACACCGGAAAAACGTCACGAGTCGATTCGTTCTTCGGTAATCTCAGACGCAGCGACCGTAATCGGATTATCATCTGATTTTAAGAAATAGGAGTAGATACAGTCAGGTTTTTAGATCAAAGGTACATTTTTGTTAATTATCCTTCAATTAGCTCCAATTGATAATTCCAATGGTTAAGATAATTTCATTAATTTTCTTGTTATACATTCTCTTTGGGGAAGATTTTTTTTAATGTACACACTTTTTTATCAATTAAAAGATCGCAACTTTTCCAAGTTAAAATTGCAACCTTCTGCAAGGTTGTTTTTCGAGGGATTTCAAAATGCAACCTGCTCACCGAGCGATTAGTTTTTATTTATAGATCTAACCATTTACGTTCAACCGCTTTACGAAAAAGGCTAAATTCCGAAATCCATAAAAAAAATGTTGCAACGCTTTAAAATTTTTGAAATTTAATACAAAATGAAATTTAATACAAAATAATAATTGAACCAGCATTGAAAAAAAGTAGCTCAATTATCAATTTTTAAGAGTGAGATTTCACTCTTTAGAGTTAGCTTTCACTCCAAAGATTTTAGAGTGAACCTTTTAGCTGATATGTGTACCTTCTTTTTTTAAATGTATTTTTTAAGTACCTCCAAAATTCCTTAGATTTCCTTTTTAAATAAAATATTTATAACTAATATTTTTATTCGTATTCTTAGCTTCTAAAATTTCTTACAAGCTATATAATTATCGCCTCAGAATGATCGAAGAAGATAACCGTTTTCTTTGGCAACGAAATTCTGCGATAAGATTAACGAGAGAGTGTAAATTTCGATTGCCAAAATGTGATCTCGATAAATCTTTCATTTATCCCATCTATTTATTAAATGTCATATACAAAATGCTTTAGATATCGCATTTTTTTCATAATCAAAGATGTCTAATGTCATTAGCGTATTATTAAAAAAAATTTCGTGTACGTTATTTTCAATTTAAATATTTTTAATATATCAAGGAAAGATTTGCTTCTTTATACGCTCTATTATTTGGGGTCGCAAAAGAAAAATGAAATCCACCGTGCGGAGAATGTGGAAGGCGAAAATCCTGAATCTGCGAAACGTATCAGATCGGGACAGGCAGAGGTGGTTTCGATGCAAAAGCGATATTTATAGCGTGTGGCAACCGGCTCTACTGGTGGCGACGGACTTTCCGGCATCGTGGCGGGCCAACAAAAATATATTCACACTTCGGACTTCCCACGAATAAAGGCACCTCCATCGCTTCACAGCGATACACGGTGCACCCTGGTACCGCGATATACGCGATGTCGCCGTAATAAACGTGATGACGCGCTTCTCTTTTTCTCTCTTTCTATCTCTATCTCTCTCTCTTCCTCGTCGGTATCGTTCTCGCAAAATCTGTTAAAACGTTTCGTTAAACGACGAGAGACATCTGGACGTGAAATCACGATATCGCAAATCATTCCTCCGTTGTCGTTAAAATCGCAAAATTGTAACATTTTCCCAAAACCTCACAGTCCGCGACTTTTTCCCTGCCTCTAAAAGTTAGTCGAATTGATCACACATTTACGTGATTAATTGAATCAGTTTTAGGGAAACCGCCGTTTACGAGATCTCTTTTGCAAAATTTTTATGAAGGCCGTCATATATCACTCAATGTCACCGATTATATTATTGATTACCACGATAATTCTAACGACGGGCCAAAATTTCGTCACCTGAAACATACCGTTTCGAAATGAGTGGGAGACAGATTAAACGCAACAAATATCCTGTCACACTATACCCGAAGCGTGATCCGGCAATGAGTTATTGGATTTCAAAATACAGAAGGGTATTTCGGAACGAGCTCAAGCTTGCCAGACGCCACGATCATACTGACTTGAGAAACCAGAGTTCGGAGTACGCCTCTTATTACAGTGATTCGCGTGCCTCTGCCACAGCCGTGTCTATATACTTATTTTACGATGTACTTCAATCTGTTTTTCCAAGTCTTCCTCAAACAGAATTTCGTATTACGAGCAGATCGAACGTTTGGGTTACGATTCTTTCGTTTCCTCTCTTTAAGGGGATCCTAAAGCGAAGCTCGAACTCCGACAAAGTCACTAGATGTTGCTGTTTTTCCAGCGCATCGACATGTCTTTATATTATATACTACCACACCAATATCTCACGCAATCTATGATACATTCAGTCGCACGTTCGTGTCAATTTTCGTATAACAAATTCGTCGCGATAAAGCGTCTAAGCCTAATTCTAAGAACTCGACGTTATTTGTTCGTGCAAATTATGTGTTTGTGGATTATTATTTCGTAAGTACAAGTTGCAAAACTTTCGTACCAAGCAAATGTTGTCACGACTTGATAACTTGAAACGCCATGTTACACTAAGAAATGGTAAAAGATATATCAATTTCGAAATTTTTGGTTGCTCTCGGCATAAACTCCACCTCACAAACACGTATTAATGCGTGTACTTTAATCCTAGAAAAGGATTTTTAAATCTGTGAAAAAGAAAAAAAGTATTTGTTATACAAAAATTATATGATTTAGTCGATAATACAGACGGCTTTAGGATCCCCTTAATGAATCCTGTAGAGCTCTTCTGATATCTTCGTGCTTTTCAAACAATTATTCAAGAAAAGATGAAGAAAGACATTTTCAGATGTAAGAGCAATCCTGTTGATTTATACAATTTTCGCGATGTTTCAGCAGTTCGTTTCAGAGAAAATCCCCGAGAACTCTTAGAAAATAAATAAAAAAGACATTTATGTGATAAGCAAGGAGTTACGACGAGATGGATTTCGTATCTCCTTTTAGCTTTCGCTTGCATAATTTCGCACGAAGCAATCAATTACGTTTTGCCGATTCCTATCTCCTGCCGATATCGATAATTCTACATAACAACGCACATTTCTTTTTTTCTTCAGTTATGATTAAATAATAAATTTTAATTTAAGCTTTCAATGTAATAAAACTTTCTTTTTTTTAAATATTGTTATGTCTTATGTTCTAAAATACATTTTAAGTACGTCTTATTATTTATGTATGTACTTCCCTTGCTGTTTAGATTATATTAAGATTAACGCATTAAGATTATATTAATATTAAGATTGGCGGAAGACAGATATTTTTCAACGATGTGGCCTTGCTGTTTTATTAATGTAAGCTATTTTAATCCGGGAAAGAAGTAAATACGATATTGGATCTTGATTTATACACTAAAATAAAACCGACTGTTCCTTCGCGCGGATCAATGAACTCTCCAGCGAATTTGTATTGCCGACACGTGCTCGAAAGTTTGATTTTCAAAGACTAAACGCACTTTCGCTCCAGATTCCTTAGAATTGTTTTCAAGAACCATTGTACCGATTTTATCGCTGGATTCAAACAAATCCAACAGTAGTTAAGCAAGACCGACTGGCTTTAAACACGTTTTAATCAAGATTTTACTTAAAAACGCAAAAACGCTTTTATCGATTTAAAGAAGGTTTATTTCTAACAAAGGAAAATTTATTTTACAAACCAATTCTTTGTAAGATTAAATTGAGAATTTCGACGTAATTTATTTTTCTTATTTCTAGTACAACTTATTTATATATTTAATTATTTTCAATTATTTAGTCTTTATATTTAAGTATTTTTAATTTAATCTTTTTATATATGAAGTCTTTTTATTTAAGTCTTTTTGTTAGACAAAAATAATAGTTCGTAAAAAATAATTTAAAATACCTGCGACAAATGAATTTTTTCCTCGCGAATCTCGTCGAGGTGTTCACGTGGCATAATGATCGAACTACGAAGGGTAAATTCCGGAGTTGGCGTTGACCTGTACTCCTCGACCGAAGGCGGCCGTACTGGACTCTTCGGTAATTCTTGCGGGTACTCTTTCGGCTGTTTGTATCTGCGTGAAAGAAATGCAAAAGACATTAATATGATATAGCAGATCGCGCATTTGTGTCGCAGCAGCGGCAGAACACAAGCAGCTTCGTGGCGGGTTCTCGACGATCATCACCTCCCATACAGCACAGAATGTGCAACAATGTCGTTGTAATAACGCTGCAATATTGCTGCAACATGCAATATTACTGCAATGTTGCAGCATTGTTATTGTAACTTTTTGTGCTGTATGAGCTTTTACAAATTAAAAATAGGCCGATTAACTACGATTTTGCGAAGAAGAAAGAGAATCAGAGACTCCGATCGTGCAGGATGAACATTAAAATAGAATGTATTTGTACAGAATTAACCGGATAAAAATGATTCTTAACTGTAACTCGGAAAAAATCAGCTTTGCGTGTTCAAGAGAACTCAAGTAACACAGTTATGTTCAAAATATGTTTAATAAACGTCTATTTAATATTTTTGTACACCAAAAGAACCGTTTCGACTAAACATTTTTCAAACGCAAATTGAAGTCCTTTATCGGTTAAAGACGATCGCCGAGGTGCAAAAGTAAGTGGTAGAAGTTTCAAAGCAGCGGCCAAAAATGTCAGTCGTGCTTTGTGCGAAGAGAGAAACTGATTAATTGAGAAGGCGAATTAATCAGTAGCGTGCTGCGACATTGCGGCGGCAACGCGGTGTCATTGCTGTGGCAGTATTGTGAAAAAAAAACGCGTATAATAGAAATAATATTGCATTCTGACAGACTAGTGGCCGCAGCCCCGTTGCCAACGATCGGCCTGAAAATCGTGGGTGGTGGTGGTGACATGGTGATGATAGTGTCGGTGGTTGTACGTGATGATACTCTCGACGGCTCAGACCTTTCGATAACTAGCTTTATGGTTTCGGAGTTTTGGAGGAGATTCTGTGCGTCTACATGCCTCACATCACGCGCGTCGTAATCGTCAATTTTCTTGATCATGTCACCCTTCTGAAGCGCCTCGTTCTCCGACTGCAAGCAGATCATCGACCCGACATTGTTAGCAATAATTATTGTCATTGTGCTAACACTTTTCGATTATTATTTTCAAGAAATAATTAAAAATAATATATATCAAACATCTAAAATGTGACAAAAAGTAAAAATCTATTTTTTAATTCTGTTGGTCTGTTTGGATCTATTTGACCCAAAATGTAATTTATTTTTTACTAATATTTTATTTAAAAATCTTTTCCTAGATAAAAAAAATCCTTTTTCTATGAAAATTTATTTTTTATTTTTTTTTTTGAGCTTTTTAATATTGATGTAAATGATTATAATTGTATAACAAATTTAAATAAACTAGCAAGGTTAACAGTTCACTTATTTCTTTTGGAATTGTAAGATATTGTCTAAACAATTTTTAAAAAGTGACAATCAAAATGAAAGAATATCTAATATTATCTTGGTATTATTTGTCATTAAATTTGATGGCAGATACGTTCTCAAAAATTTAAAAAAATTAATGTATAAAAAATGCTCGTAAAAGAAAGATTAACGAAATGTTATATAGAATGAGATAAATTACGAAATATTATGAGGCAAAACACAGAAGTATTTGGTAATAAATAATATTCGAATTATCTGTTAGTTTATTGTGAAATAAAAATAGAAACAAGTAAGACGAAAGTAGAGAATTAAGAATATTTTTTTTAACAAAAAGGCGCTTTTGTTATCTCGTTGGACCGCGATGTTTAGGCGTAAGCTCCGGGATGCAATGCGCCGTATCGTGTATCAATGTCAACGGGCGCTAGATCGAATCGTTAATTTGAGAATTCCTTGGCAGACTTCTCCATTTCAAATGTTCACAGGGATTGCGTTACGTCCACCTCTATTGTTCCACCGCGGCGTTCGCCAGTGCGAAATCGCATCGAAGCCAAGTAAGCGGACACCATAACGAAATCTCCATAATGAGAGAAATCGGATAAAAATCATTGCCCGGAGATAAGAAAATCCATTATCAAATGCCGTAAAGAAAGAGATTTGTATACTTTCTTTACGAAACGCATATTCGAGGACTCATTGATTACTAGCTTTTACAATTAGAAGCATAAACCTGACTTAGGACTTTATATATCATTAAAGGATATTATAACAAGTAAATCATAAACACCATGTAAAATTATAATTTTTTACATATAACTTATTTTATATATATATAATTTTGTTTATTTATAGTTCCTTGAATGTTAATTAATTAATTAATTAATTAACTTGCCTCAAAATTCAATTATTTTTATTGTTTCTACTTGAAACATTAAAAAATTCATTATTTCTATTTTTCATTATATTTATCTTCTTTACATTTATCATATTTTTATTATTGTTTATATGTCATCCTTTCTTTTAAAGACCATAAAATTGTAGAACAAATTTAGGTTTAACATCGAAGCAATTAATTTGAAACCTCGTCAGGAGAATTGTAAAACAATTTAAAAAATTCAAAAATTAATTAAAAATGTGTGAGAAGATCGGGCAAAAATTAAGACGAGAAGAAGAAGCAGACTCACGCGGGTGACAACAATCGGCGTGCCCAGATCTGCGCCTCCGGCGATCCTTATGCCCCATGGCCTACCGGTGCTGGATCTCTTAAGTTTCACAATCAATGTGTGCCTTCTCGTCATTCTCTAGACTCGGTTCAGTCAGCACCACCACCAACAATAACACAACAAATAGCCACGACACAAGCACTTAATCAATCGCGAGATGCACTACGTGGGCAAAACGACGAGAGAGAGGCAAAAAGAGATAAAAAAGGGAGTAAGTTTCAAGAAGAAAAAAGAGCCGACTCTCTCAGAAGAAGGGAAGACCTCCCGCGAACAGTCGCGAGCGATGGATCTCCCAGATCGTGATCGCTCTCTGCTTCGCTACTGAGATAGCAGCTGCAGCTGTAGCACTTGCCGACTATATGCCGACTTTGACAGAGCCCTGAGCGGAAAGCCAGAAAGATAGAGAGAAGGAGAGAAAGAGAGAACTTTAGTTGCTCAATTCTAACACCGCCTCTAGTCTCTCTGTTTCTTTCTTCGCTATTCTGGCCCCATTTCGAGTTGGCGTATTGTTCTGATGGTCCGACCCGCACTCGTTTCTTTGGTATTTGCTATATGTATGCGTGCGTACGTGCATAAATGTTTTGCAGTCTCGCCTTGAGAGAGAAAATCATGAACTATCAGCAAAGAATAAATATCAACTATCACGAGAAATCCTTGAAGATGATAGGTATACTATAAAGACGAGAGAATTCTACAACTGAAAAACTTATTTCTTGTTATTTGAATTTTTACGTAATTTTAAACAAATTCGTTGACCACTAAAGAAAAAAATGATCTTAAATAACTACAAAGTTATACTTCAGCAACATCAAAATGCGTGGTTGGAAAAGAATTTCTAATAACCATTATTTTTCTTAATATCGTTTTTTATATAATAATAATTAAAACAATCATAATTTCTTTTGATGGCTCTTTTAAGTCAGTTCAGTTAATTTAACATGGCAATTCAATTTATTAAAAATGAGATAATTAAATGGTAAAATCAACAAGTGAAACAAGCTAAAATTTAAATTGAAGATACCTACATGAGTCTAAAATGTAATACTATTAGAGTCTAATAATTCTGGACATTAATTCTTTCAAAAAAAAACTTCTTCAGTATTAAAGAGATATATAGGATTAAATGTAGCTTTGATTTTGCAACATTATGCGAAATTATTTATTATAATAATTTACAAAAATTATTAGTGTGTTGCATAATGTAAAGATTGTAAAGCAGTAAAATTTTATGTACACGATATACGATAAATATGACGAATATCGAGGAAGAGGAATGGTCGGGACAAAAATATCGAAATAATTTCTATAGTAACTTTCATGCATAACGCAACTTTATTGACTCAGTTCGAAACGTGTTCGACACATGTTTCATAAGCAAACTATTGTAAGTGGGACAGTTTTATATACAGCTTGGTATCTACGATGGAAGCTGACAAATGAAATGCATTTTGTTGCGCTATATATCTACACGACAGCTTCTTTATTCGCAAATTTGATGTCGAGTTTCAGAAAAGATTATTCATTTGTAATTTATTCCACACAAGAAGATACAATTAACTATTTGTATAATTAACAGAAAATTAGATATTCGGATATTTTATTCATATTTTCAAAGTTCAAATTGTCGCTTTATTTCTATTATCAAATGTTTTTTTAATTGCTATCATCATTTTAAGCCACTTATTTAATCGATAAATCGATAAATTATATTTACTTTAATGTAACTTCAGTAAGCCTACGATTTGTTAGATTTTCCGCAAAACGAAAAACGAATCTAAAGTAGCAATCATGTAATTTTTTTCTTAAGGCGTGGAAACTGTAAATTTTCTTTAAAGATAATGGAGAAATTTTTCACTTCTCACATTTTCGCTCTAGAAAAAGGGATTACATGATTGTTATCTAGACTTCTTTAAAAAAATCATCAGAAAAATCCATCAGAAATCGATAATTTCGGTAGTCAGATGATTGGAGTATAAATTAGGAAGAAAATCGAAAGGATTTCTTCCGGGTTGCGTACTCTTCGTACTTACATAGGTTTCGTAAAAGTGGCCTATGGAGAATTTGAGAGCCATCCTCGAAAATTTGATTCTAGTCGCGTTTTCCCCCCGTCTAGGTAAGACACACACTTCTTCCGCCGTGCGAATACGTTCACGGACGGCGAGAAACTTCTCCCCTATGCAGGCCGTTTCGAAGCAATTAGTTTGGCTGCACTGTAATTAACGGAGACTAGAGAACCAGAGACGAGAGAGAAAGAAAGAGAGTGAAATAATGAGATAGAGGGAGAAAGAACGCGTGTTTGTACGACTTAAATTAGCAACCTATAGCGCGAAAGGTTAGTCAATCGCTCTAGTGACTCACTTTACCTTAATTTATAGAATCATTAATGCATATCGCCAATATGCGATATGTCCAACATTAGCAGTCGACGATAATGAATCATCATTTAAATGTGACTGAAGTTTGGAGCGTTCGTGGAGCGAAAATTAAATGTAAGCTCACACTGAAATAACAGACAATTTCTTAATAATTCGGCGCTCTTGCAAGACCGCAATCTTCATTTAAAACGTCTGGAATACGTTCGAAATTTTCGGTCATATGTATATATGTGTGATCGTCAATTGTCTGTTATTTCAGTGTGGGCTTACATTTAATTTTCGCTCCACGAATGCTCCAAACTTCAATCATATTCATTTATGTATGTCATTTAATTACGTATTGCGGATGAACTTAAAAAAAAGTGTATAAAATATCTTGCATACTCTTCTGCTAAACACAATAAAGATTTAAAATCTTACAAAAATAACATTACCATAACAAAAACCACATTCTATAAAAAAATATAAAGATTATAAAAAATATATATTAGTAATGTGTATGAATGAACGAATAATTGCATGAATAATTCATCAACTATTGAAATACGATAGCAATTATAATATGATATTATGATAGTTGTCTTTGCCAGTCAGCAATTCAAATTTACGAACTTACATGTTACGCGTTTGTCGTGCTTGATTGTTCATAGGTTTTGAAGTATCTAAAAATTTAGCTAAATTAGATCTGAAAATGATTTTGTCTAAATTGCATAGAACGTTCAAACTGTTGTTAGAATGTCAAAATTTTTTGCGGCATTGCTTATCAATTATCATGCTTCTTACGTAAATATTTCGATAGTCTAACAAAATTTATCTTATATAAAGGGAGTATATAAAGAGGAAGTATATAAACTTTATATAAAGAGAACCCTTCGGAGGAGCAACTTAGTATTAGTCCGCTCCTCACCTTGATGAAGTGAACGGCAAGATTCATGAAACGTTGGCATTAGCAATGGATCACGACACGGCGATAATCCGCAAACCCTTTGGTACCTCTGAAGAAAACACCCGTGAAAGCCTCAAAAGTATTGTCTAACAAATTATTTTCAGACTTGCATCCAAGTTTTTAGATATTTCAATAAAATCATTCTTCCCATACAGTCATCAAATCGAGATTACGACTTATTTCATAGATATTCCTCGGTGATTGCTCGGCTGATGACTATACGTCGTATTTCACTGGTACCCGCGCCGATCTCGTAAAGTTTCGCGTCTCGCAGCAATCTCCCTGTCACGTAATCATTGATATAGCCATTGCCACCTATAAAAAAATTTTTAAAAAGCGCGACTGTCATTCTCATTAAACATTGCTAAATATCTACTTTCTCCACCAAGTTCTTATATCCTCTACGTTTTCTTCTGATATATAATTTATTACTGTTCATTTTTTTTTAAAAAGATTTACCGAGTATCTGTACAGCATCTGATGCCGCTTTCATTGCATTCTCGGCGGAAAAGAGCAACACCGCGGCGCAATTTTTGCGATTTACATAACCGGCGTCACAGGACCTGGCGACAGAGTACAAGTAGCTTCTGCTCGCGCTCAGAGCTGTATACATGTCCGCTATCTTCGCCTAAAACGATATGATTAGATGATATCAATGGAAGATCGTAAAAAAATTTTAAACGGCAAGGTAATTCTTGTTTTACCTGTATCAACTGAAATTTCGCAAGATACTGGCCAAATTGTTTTCTTGTATGAGCATATTCAAAGGCAACGTCGCAACAAGCTTGCAATAGCCTAGAATTTATTTACGTTTCAAATCGCAAAGTCAAATAATATAAACGCTCGTTTGTGAATAAAACTTAAATAATTTCTTATTAATAATCTGATAAAAATAGATATTTAATACTAAAGTGTTTAAATCTGTCATTCTATATAATACACACCAAAATGTAAACATATAACACGCTATTTATTATATAAACTTTCAAAAAGTATAATTTTTATTTCATTGATCATAAAAAATGCATCCAATGTTTTAATGAAGCTGCTTTTAGCGCGCAAAATCCAAATACAGAAATACTAAAAACTAATCAAGCTAAATTTTGTGTTATACACTCATTGTTTTTTTAAGAACTTACCCCAGGGGCCCGCCAGATAGTATTAATCGTTCTAAATCCAGTCCACTAAAGAGTACATAAATACCTTTGTTAATTTCTCCTAAAACGTTTGTAGCTGTAATGAAATTTACAATTTTCTTAGAGAAATTTTTACATAAAGACCATTTTTGAAAAACGAAAGGATAATGATCAATTTCAATGAGTCAATAAATTTCGGGATAAACTTAAAATGTTGAGAAACAATATCTTACAGTTCTTACTCTATTCTATTTGAACATATTAATTTTATTGTAACAAATCTCTATATCTTTTCCGCGTTTCTCATTCGAGCGCCGGACTTACCCGGCACTTTGCAATCCTCGAAAATCAGTTCGCTCGTGTTCGAGCCGCGCATGCCAAGCTTGTCCAGCTTCTGCCCCGTGCTGAAACCTTCTGTGTCACGTTCGATGATGAAAGCGGTGATGCCATGCTGCGGCTTGTCCACGTTCGGATCCGTCCTCGCGTAGACGACTAGCGTATCCGCGTCCGGAGCATTGGTGATCCAGAATTTGTTGCCGTTGAGGACATAGTAATCCCCCTTTCTTTCGGCTCGCAATTTCATGGAGACAACGTCGGATCCGGCACTCAGTTCCGACATCGCCAACGCGCCGATGTGTTCGCCGCTGCATAGCTGTAAAATTTCTCATATAACAAGAATAGTTTATTTATATTATCAATAATTGCGCGAGCGACATGAGTTAATCCTATCATGATATTAATCCTATGAAGATATCAAAGGTGCTTCTTAATTTCCATGAAAAAGAAAATCCTTCTATTTATAATTTGTATAATTGTAAATATTCAATCTATTTTTTTACAATTTATTCACCAAAAAAGATATTTATTCCACTAAGATATTTATTACACTAAAATATTACATATGTAACTTTTTCATATAAAACTTTCTAAGGACATTTAAAGGTGTATGTCGAAACGAATTAAAAAAAACCCTTTATGACTTATATGTACAATTGTAGATATACTTTAACATTCGAAATTAATTTGTATGTATTTTATGTATATGTTTTCTCCTCATATAAGATTCTCTAAAAATACATTGTTTGGGGTGAGTTACCTTAGGTAAATATTTTTGCTTTTGTTCCTCCGTGCCATTTCTGTGAATTTGATTGACACAGAGATTTGAATGTGCACCATAGCTGAGACCGATAGCGGCGGATGCTCTACTAATTTCTTCCATGACAATGACATGATCGAGATATGTGCTGCCTGTGCCTCCATATTCTGGTTTCACCGTCGGACCTAACAGGCCCAGTTTACCCAATTTTTTCCAAAACGTCTGCGCGATCGTATTATTTTTTTTAAATTGAATCGTTGATTAGGACGTCACGGAAGATAAAATTTAATTAATTCATTACGTTTGCTGTTTATTTATATTTCTTTCCCTTAAAATCAGTGCATAAAAGAAACACTTACCCTCAATTCATCGAAATTATTTTTCTTGTCGATTTCGGCGGCTTTAGGCGCTAGCTCCTTTTGTGCAAAATTGAAAACGAGCGAACGAAGCTAAAAAAGGATGACAATTGTTACAAATATTGCTACTCGGACGTAATAATAGAACATTCTGTAAAATTTTTATTGAATTCCTAATATTTTGAAAATAGATGCTAAACATCGATCTTTAACTTAAAAAAAAATGTAATAAGTTATTAAAATTAATAATATAGCCTTTTAATCCTACGCGTGTTTAAATTTAATGTATTTTACAACATAACTAGTTGAAGTTAAAAGTTAATTCATTTAAATTAAAGATATAATATAATTAATAAAAAAAACCTAAACAAATAATACAAACAACATTTCAAACCTGATCGGGTCATTCTCAATGTTAATGCAAAGTGATAAGTACATACATAATGTTAATACAAAGTGATAAGTACTATTACATAATTTAAAATATAAAACATAATGACACGCGTTACATCATTTTGAACGTTTATCAGCTTGATAACGACAGAATGCGATCTAATGACCAGTTTACATCTATTAGAAGTCTGTGCATGTATTTTTTTTATCTTTTTATTTATATTAGTTTTAAACTGTTTTATATTTTAAATTATATATATATATATATATACTTATCACTTTGTATTAACATGAGAATGATCTGATCGGGCTCGAAACGCTATTTGTATTATTGTTTAGTTCTTCGTAGCCCTTCTCTCAACACTTTTATTATTAATTTATATTAATTGAACCATATTACACGAAGTATTTTAATTCATTTAAAATTAACTGAAATAAGTAAAAAAATCATTAACTTTTTAATTGTATTATTTAACTTTTAACTAATTAATTATAGTTATATATACTACCCAATCTTGCAATACCCGGAAAAAAATGTTATACATATATAAGGACATATTTTATATATAATTGTATATAAAGTATGTCAGTTTTTATATAATTATATATAATTTTATATAATATATAATTACATCTGAAACATTTTTTTCCCGAATAATTGGGTGCATTCAGTACTACAACTGCTTACTGAGCGCTCAGAGAGCTCTTATATCTGTTTGGTCTATATTTTTAGTTCTAATGGAATATGCCAATCAGATGTGAGAACTCAGTGAGCGGTGTAGTACTAAATGCATGGCTACGTTTACACCGTGCGCTTAAAACCTGATTTATAATGGCCGTAACCGTTAACTTATGCAGGGTCTACAATAG